TGGACATTTTCACATTAATCCTTCCAATCCACGAGCATGGTATGTCTTTCCATTAATTTGCATTTTCTACAGTTTCTTTCATCAATGTTTTTCAGAGTACAGTCTTTTAGCTCCTTGGTTAAATGTATTCCTAGGCATTTCATTCTTTTTGATACAATTGTAAATGGGATTGTTTTCTTCATCTCTTTCTGATAGCTACACACACACAACAGATTTCTGAATATTAATTTTGTATCTTGCAACTTTATGTACAGGCATATTCCCTCTATAGCCACTTTATGAATTTTTATCATAAGTGAATGTTGAATTTTGTCAAATGCTTTTTATCTATTGAGGTGATCATACGACTTTAATCCTTCATTTTTATTCTTGGTTTTGTTAATGTTGTGTATTATGTTTACTGATTTAGAATATAGAACCATCCTGGTAGCCCTGGAGTAAGTCGCATTTGATCATGGTGTATGATCCTTTTAATGTATTGAATTCAGTTTGCTAATATTTTATTGAAAATTTTTGTATCTATGTCCATCAGGGATATTGACCTATAATTTTATTTTTATTTTTTTGTAGTATCTTTGTCATAAAAAGAATTTGGAAGTATTCCTTCCTCTTGAATTTTTTGGAATAGTTTAAAAAGTATAGGTATTTTTTCTTTAAATGTTTGGTCTAATTTACCTGTGAAACTATCTGGTCCCGAACTTTTTGTTTGCTGGAGTGTTTTTTTAATTACTGATTCACTTTTGTTACTTCTGTTCAGACTATTCAGATTTTCTATTTTTCCCCTTGTTCAGGTTCAGATGGTTGTATTTTTCCAGCAATTTATCCATTTCTTCTAGGTGTTGAATTTGTTAGCATGGTATTTTTTTGATTCTTTGTATTTCTCTGGGGTCGATTGTAACTTCCTTTATTTCTAATTTTATTTGTGCCCTCTCTGATTTTTTTCTTAGTAAGTCTGTCTACAGGTTAGGTTTATTTTATCTTTTCAAAGAACTAGCTCTTAGTTTCATTAACCTTGTTTTTTAGTCTCTATCTCAACTCTTAATTTTTATAATCTTTCTTCTGCTCACTTTGGGCTTTGTTCTTTTTCTAATTCCTTTAGGTGTAAAGTTAAATTGTTTGAGATTTTCCTTGTTTTTTAAGGTAAGCCTATATCACTAAAAAATTCATTCTTAAAACTGCTTTTGCTGCATCCAAGGGATTTTAGAAATTTTCATTTCCATTTTAATTTATCTTAAGGTATATATTTTAAATTTCTTCTTTGATCTTCTTGTTTAAATAGCATTTTTTATAATCTTCACGTTTGTGGGTTTTTTTTCCCAGACTTCTTATAATTCTAGATTCAATACATTTTGGTTATAAAATATATAGTTAATATGATTTATCTTCATGAGTTTAGTAAGACTTATTTTATGGCCTAACATGGTCTATCATGGAAAATGTTCTATGTCCACTTGAAAAGAACATGTATTCTGCAGGTTAGGGGTAAAATGTTCTATAAATACCTATTAAGTCCATCGTTTCTAATATGGGTCATTTAAGGTTAGTTTTCTTGTTGATTTTCCGTCTGGATGATCTATCCATTGATGTAAGTGGGGTATTAAAGTCCTCTACTATTATTGTATTACTATTATTGTATTACTATCAATTTAATTGAATCAATGTCCTTTTTAGCTGTTAATATTTATTATATTTATCTAAATATTGTTGAATGTGTAAATATTTACAAATGATACATTTCCAAGATTGACCATTTTATCATTATGTAATGCCCTTCTTGGTCTGTTTTTACAGTGTGTTTTAAAATCTATTTTGTCTGATACGAGTATTGCTAACCTAGTTTTCTTTTCATTTCTATTTGCATGGAATATATTTTTGCCATCCCTTCATTTTCAGGCTGTGTCTTTCGAACTATAGTTAGTTTCTTGTAGGCACAATATAAATAAGTCTTATTATGCATTCGGCCACCCTATATCTTTGGATTGAAACAATTAGACCATTTACACTTAAATTATTAAGTATTTACTTATTGCCATTTTGTAGTTCCTTTCTATTCCCTTCTTCTTCTTTTGCTTTCTTCCCTTGTGGTTTGCTGGTTTTATTTAGTGTTATGTTTGAGTTCCTTTCTCTTTGTTTTCTGTGTACTTTTGTAGGTTTTTGGTTTGTCATTACCATTAAGCTCATATATGTCCATATATATAGAAGTTTAAGTTGATAAGATGTTAAAGTTTGAATGCGTTCTAAAAATGCCCTCCAGTTTTTGCCGTCCTAGTTTATCTTTTTGTTTTGTGTCCCCTAACTACACATTATAGTTGATTTTATTTTGTCTTTTAACCTTAAGTAATTTATTGCCTTTACTGTATATTTGCTTTACTTGTACAATTTTTCATTCACATATACGTTTTTATTTCTGGTTATGGACTTTTTCTACTTAAAAAGGACCCTTTAATATTTCTTATAAAGCCAGTGAGGAACTTCTTTAGTTTTTATTTATCTGGGAAACTTTATCTCTTTTTCATTTCTGAATAACAACCTTTTCAGGTAGAGCATTCCAGGTTGTAGGTTCCTTCCTTTTAGCATTTTAAATATTTGTATATACTGCAACTCTCTTCTGGCATATAAAGTTTCTGCTAAAACATCAGCTAATAAATAGCCTTATGGGATTTCCTTTGTATGTGACAGTATGTTTTGGTGTGGTTCTCTTTGGGTTCATTTTGTTTGTAACTCTGTGCTTACTGGACCTGGAAATCTGTTTTCTTCCCCAAGGTTAGGAAAGTTTTCGCCCCTCTTTCTCATTTTCTGGGATACCCTACAATACAAATGTGAGTACGTTTGATATTATCTGAGATCTCCCTTAAACTATCCTCATTTTCTAAATTTATTTTTTCTTTTTGCTCTTATGATTTGATGATTTCCACTACTTTGTCCTTTAGGTCATTAATCTGTTTTTAATATTATTTAATCTGCCTTTGCTTTTCTCTAGTGTATTTTTCGACAATTATAGTCTTCAGGTATAATTGGCTCTTTTTCCCCCACTTCCCACAAGATCTGATATTTTTAGCTCTTTGCTGAAGTTCCTTCTAAGTTTGATGAGCATCCTTATGATTGTTACTTTAAATTCTTTATTAGGAAAATTACTTACCTCTGTTGCATGTAGGATCTTTATCTGTTTTTTTGTTGTTGTTGTTCATTCATTTGAAATATATTCTTCTGTCTTTTCATTTTGTTTGTTACTATGAATTAGACAAAACAGCTCTCTTCACCTGATCTTGAAGGAGTGGCCTTGGGTAGGAACAACCTCTGTCTAGAATATTTGTGCTGAGTGATTTTGACAGGCTGGCTGGAGCTGTATGGACATGTGGTTCCCTGGGTGTTAAGGAGGCCCAGGGTGTGGGGCTCCAAGGACTGGCTGACCAAGGATGTAGCAGATATTTGCAGAGGCGGTCTGGGTGCAAGGCTCCTGGCAGCCACTGGCCAGAGCTGCAGCAGGTGCTGGCCGAGTAGACCAGGGTAGCTGTGGAGTCATTACAAGTCAGCTAGAGTGCTTGGACGTAGCTCCCTCCCATGGTACTAGATATAGGGGAAATGTGAACAAAGGCATTCACCAGTACCTCTGATTCCACAGTTCCCCATCTGTTCAGCAAGCACCTTCGGGTAAGCAAATGGATTTTTTCATATTATAGTCCTAGTACTCCTTAAATGAGTGGGGGAGGGGGGGAAAAGGAGGGAGAGGGAGATATTTCTATCTATAGATCTATATATCATTGCTCATGTGGACTCCTTACTATTAACCCTCCCTGAAAGTCACCCTGTTAAGGTAGGGTTCCCGTATCTCTTGTCTTTCCTACCTTCTCTATGTGGTCTCTTTCACTTGTGGAGGAGCTGTTCAATTGGCCCTCAAATGTTCTTCAGGAGGATCTGCTCTATATGCAGGTGAGTTTGGGGTATTTCTAGTCCACCATTTTGTACCTCTCTTCATTCCTGACCTTCTGAATGGCAGGATTTTCCAATCATTTTGTTGTTTCCACCTGTCTGAACACTAAGTGTATTGAATCATGAACCCAGATATATTCATTGAAAACTGTCATGTACCATAACTATATTATATAATTATAGCAATTTAAATTTTTGGTACATTTCTTAAGTAGTATTTTCCCCAGACTCAGATTATTTATTCAACTTTTCAGATTGAGAGACTCATGTGATTAATTCAAAACTTAAATATTTTGGACACTATACACCCTTCTACACGTAGATAATAATTAAATGTTGAGAGAGTATCAGGTATGTGTAGCAACAATAATCAACAACCTTGAAGGGTATATTTTAGAGGGAAAGGCCAAGTTCGGCCTTTTAAAAATAAATTTATATAGAGTCTATTAAAAAAAACCAGTAATGATGGCTAAGAAACATTTTTCTAGAGTTGATAGAGGATCAGTTCTACAGTATTAAATAACTAATACAATAGACTACAAAACACACAGGGAAAGATTAGAGTGGAAGGCCTAGTTCTGCCCCTGATTCTTGTGATACTGCGTCCATTTCTTTAGAACAAATGTTGCTGGAGAGTGTATTCTTCTGGTAAGGTTTAAAAGCACCACCAAAAACAAATGAAAATCCTTAAGATGCTTGAATACAATTTATTGGCTGCTTTTAATAGCATTTTTAATAGCAAAAATGTGTTTACAATAGCTTATAACCATCTTTTTCAAATACAAATTACACTTGAGGTTGGGTAAGTCTTAACATTTTAGATTCCTCACCTCTGTGACATACAATAAAACATCCCAGATACTATCTGGCTGATTCTCACAGAGGTATGCACAAATGTACTAGTCAAGTACAACTTCTTTAACCACCTTGGGTGGGAATTATTTTTTCATGAAACATTAATATATAGACATGATTTTGAAAATTAAGCAAAGGAATCGATTCTCACTTTAAATACACCTTTTCTCTTAAGCTACAGTATATTTATACAAATTATACAAAATACTAAGTTTTCATTTCCATACCTTAACAATCCCATCCCTAGAAGCAGTTACAATGAAGCCCTGTGTTGTCTGGAACGTGGCAACATCTGTGATGATATCGTGATGTCCCACAGGCAGAGACTCTGGGCCCTTCCGAGGGGTGTCATCACTAGGTCCTACCTTCTGCTTATTCTGAATTTCCTGTTTCATAATTAAAAGTCAAGGAGAAAGCCAGAAGTTAAAAGCCTATAACACATTCTACCTTCTGTAAGTGTTCTTGCTTTTGGGCTATGTGTTGAAGCTAATGTCTCTTGTGAAGTAGACATGCTTTCACAAATACACGGAGAAAAAGGAGTTCTAGGTTTCCAATTAGACTCCTCCCACTTACATATATGGAAAAACTATAAAAAAAAGCTAGTCTGTGCTTATTATCTTTTCTCAAAAATCAAAAGGAAAAGCATATAAAAGTAAAAACACATCAGATGTTCTGCATTTCTAAAGCTCAATATTCATGAAGGAAGCATACTTTCATTTATTGGGCACTTACTCGGGCCCTTTCAGGTATTTATCTCATCTGTCTAACTCAAGGACATAAGCTTTCGAGTTCCAACATTTAGATTTGAATCTCACCTTTGCTGCTTACTTAGTAGCTGGATGATCGTAAGGAAAATATTAAAGGTGCTTACTTCAAGTTGTATACTTACATGCGCACTTTTTAAATGTTTTTCTTAGCTTTTCTGTAGTTTTAAAATTAACATTCCTTATACTTGGAGAAATACTGCCATACTATTCTTTAATAAACAATGTTTATGAAAGGCATTTTTATACCCACAAAAGTTGAAGGAAAAAAGACTGCTTGTACCTGGACGACTTCAGTGCCTTCAATTATTTTCCTATAGTAGGACACTGATGGAGAACTAGTACTTCCTGCAACAACATAGGACCTCTCTGGGTAAGCCAAGTCCCAAAACCTAGAAAAGAGGAAACAAATGGTGATAATCTTTGAAGGGGAGGAACTAATATTTGCTTACATTTATCAATGCATAACTTATTTTCTTTTGCATTAGGAAAAGATGTTTTTCTATAACTGTATAAAATTAGTTATAAATGAAGTATTAATAGCTATCCTTGCAAGATGTGGATGACTTTAAACTGTAGTGCTAAAATCCTATATAATAAAAGGTTAATATGCAAAGACCAAACGGTGGAATAACCAGTCACTATGACATGTGCGTGCCATGGTGGGCATTGGTAGGATGCTGGTAGCTGGCATCAGAGCAAGCCTCTGGTGGTTACAGAAAATTCTCTGCTCCTGTGCACTGCAGTCCCGCTGGTGCTTGCAATCATTGCTGGCATAGGCCTACATCACTTGCCACCATCAGTGGGTCCAAGCAGCTGCTGCTGACCCTGACAGTCCCTGAGGCTTCACCACCTCCCCATGCTCCTGAGAGGCAATCACTCCACACCATCAGCGGGTACAAACGGGGCCGGCAGGAGTGGGCTGTCAGCAGCAGGGGGACATGACAGGAGGATGGGCCAAGATCCGCCCCTAGGCCTACCGCAGCCTCACGGCCCACAGTTCCCTTCAAGGTGCACAAATTTGTGCACTGGGCCCCTAGTATATAATAAACCCCACCCCAGTGTTAACTGTAGTATCCATCTATATTAACCTTCCCCTTTTAACTGTTGCATAAAGTTTTCTTTATCAGATACTATACCTTATTTTCATGTCTGAGCCAGCTGTCAGCAGGATAGGATTTCCATCTGCAGGACTACAGTAGATACCATGAACACTGTGAGGAGAAGGCTTAAAAGAAAGAAATACGAGTCAAATAAAAGGTAACTGTGTATTGCACAAATGGTGCCATTTCTAGAAATTGTCAGGCTTTAAGAGACTGATTATGTATGTTTTATATATTTCTACCTTTGAAACTTTAAAATGCCTCTTTATTTAGGATACAAAGCCAATGCAATGACTGTCCAGCTTCTTAAAATTTTCTTTCCTACCTTTCTTGGCAACATAATTAAAAACAAATGTATAAAAGAGTCATGTTCCATGTTCCATTTTTTTAAATGCTCTAAACATCAATCTGGGCTTTTCCTATTTAACCCAGATTTGTACTGGGGTTCTAAAGATTATCACAAACTTTATGGAGCTAGTAACCAAAACACCCAAGGAAATGAAAAGCAACCACACAGCACTGGCCACCTAATACTTAAACATAACCCAAAGCACAACAGATCATATTTGGTAAAATGTCGGCGATTGTATTAGCAAAAACTGGAGTCAAACCTGTAACTCAGAAAGCGGAGGTGCACTACTGGCCCAGAGAGTGAATCTTCTGTCTCCCGTCTCCATGTCCCACATTGACACTTCATTGTTGCCCTGAACAGCTAAGGGAAACAAAGGCCGCACCATTACTCAGGTAAGAAATCTATATAGGTAGATAATCCAAATCAGCCTGGACCCATTTCCATTTTCCCCCATCCTGCAAGAAATGCTCATTAGCACTTTTAAATAACCATTGTGACCCTGTCACACTAGAGTGCAAAGAGATGTTAATAGCTTACCAATATGTACTGAAGTCCAACAAAGTGGGGTGGAAAGTTAAATCATAAAGATTTGCCAGTCTAGAAGTAGAAAAAATACAAAGAACTACAAAGTTCCACCTGAACTCAAGAAAGGAAAAGAGCATATCCAGGGGTTAAGAATCTAGGTTGCCTCATGGAGGTGTCTACACCAAGACTGAAAGGACAAGTAAGTCACTTCAGGCAGAAAAAAATGGAATGAGCAAAAAACACAAAAACAAATCGCTGTGTTTTGGGGAAGCATGAGTAGTTGGTCTGAGTAAAGCTCATTTGTAGAAAGAAGAAAAGGTAAAGAAATATTACAAAAAAAGGAAATTGCAGGCTGATATTATCCTTACAGGTTTTTGAGCAGTGGGAATAATAATACACAGCTGTCATTCATACTAATTGAACCAATAATATTTACCATGAGCTAGTCATTGTCCTAGGCACTGATAAAAAGGCAAAATATTTCAAATCATTCCCTGCTTCACAGCATTTACATGCTAGTGGTGACAACAAACCACAAATATGCAAAGGCCCTGAGCAGGAATGTGCTTTTAATTCAAGGAAAGAACCAGGAAGCCAGTGTAGCGGGACTGAGTATCTTAGGTTGACCCACACGAACCACTAACAGGATCCTGTGACTGCTGGCTTCTAGATAGGTTGGGCCTGTGGCACCTCAAAAATAATCAGGCCCTAGTTCCAAGCCTATGGATGTTACTTTATATGGAAAAGGGATTCTACCAATGTGATTAAGGATCTTGAGACAGGGATGAGTGGTTATCCTGAATTGTCCCGGTGAACCCTAAATGCAAACACAAGTGTCCTAATAAGAGGGAGGCAGGTGGCACTAGCTTTGAGGATGGAAGGAGGAGTCACAAGCCAAGGCATACAGTTTTAAAAGCAGAAAAAGGAAATGGATCCTTCCCTAGACACTCCACAGGGAATGTGGCCCTACTACCACTTTGATTTTGGCTCAGCAAAACTCATTTCATAGGACACTAATGCACACCTACACAGCCCCAGTAAGAAATAAAGGGATGGATGAAAAGTTAGTCACTTCAGGCTGATTGTATCCCTCGCCTCAAATCACTACTCCTCTCAAAGGGGTCTTTCCTATTCAACTTCCTTCCAAATTCCAGTAACCATCCTCTTCAACCTTCCTCTGCTAATCTGCTGGCATGATTGCATGTCCTTTTATACTGCCTCTACTCCCACACCTTTATAAACAAATAAATCCTCCTACTTTGGGTATGCCATCTGTTTCCTGTGAGAACTCTGACTGATAAAGGTCAGAGAGGCAGTAGGGGCAGATCTCATAAAACCTTTGAGCTACAGGGGAGGAGTTCGGGTGCTACTTAGGATGAGAAGCCACTGGAAGGTACGGAACAGAAAAAAGGACAGTCTTAAGAGGTAAGGCTAAAAGCAGGGAGTTACAAGGATATTGATGCATAGAAACAGGAGATTATGGTGGTTTGGACTAGGGAGAGTGATGGAGACAGTAAAAAGGGGTCAGATTCTGAATATCTTTTAAGATAGAACATATATGATTGGCTGATAAACTGACGGGGGTTAAAGGAAGAATCAAGCACAACACAAGGCTTCTTTCTGAGCAGTTAGCATAAATGAGCTGCCATTTACTGAGGGAGCACTGTAGGATGGGAAGATTTGTCTGAGTTGGAGGAAGTGGTGAGGAAGCTGGTAGAGAGGAAACAAGTATTCAGTTTGGACATGTCAAGTTTAAATTAAGATGGCTATTCAACCTCTTAGGGGAGATTTTAGATAGACAAATATAAAAATTTGAATAGGATTGGTATTTAAATATGGCAGAAGATCACAGATGGAGACCAAAGACTGAGCCCTGCGGCAGGCCACATTTAAAAGTCAGTAGATGAGGAGGAACCAGCAAATCAACGAATAGGTGAACCAAGAGAGAGAGGTCCTTGGAATCAGGTGGGTGAGTATTTTAGAAAGAGAAAACAATCCACTGACCAAACGTAAGTCCAATAAAAGGCGGGAGGAGTGATGACCTCTGAATTTGTCAGCATAGTGACTGACAGCAGCAGCGTATGAGAAGGGACCAGAAAAAGCCTAGATTCAAGAGGACCAATGAGGAAACATTAGAATAACAAGTCCTATATTTATCAAGCACTATTTCTGCCCCAGCTATGTGCTTTATATGTGTCATCTCAAATTCTTACAATTCTGCTTGGTCAGTGGTAGGCAAACTCATTAGTCAACAGAGCCAAATATCAACAGTATGATTGAAATTTTTTTTGAAAGCCAAATTTTTAAACTTAAAATTCTTCTAAAACCACTTCTTCAAAATAGACTTGCCCAGGCTGTGGTACTTTGTGGAAGAGCCACACGTGGCTCTCAAGCCGCAGTTTGCAGACCATCGTGCTAGGTAAATGTTTTAAACCACATTTTACAGATGAGGAAAGTGAGTCTCAGAGACTGCCCAAGTATTCATACAGAAAATGAGAATGCTCAATGAGGGGAGGGAAGAAAAGGAAGCCTGTAAGAAGCACAGTAGAAACAGATCAATAACAAATGATAACAAGGATGTGTCAAGATTTCTAGGAAGATGGTGGCAGCTTTAAAAAAATATGAGATATAAGAGAAAGAAAACAAAGGGGAAACAGCAACAGCAATGAAAGATGATGTGTCAACTGATGAGATTATTTTAAAATAAGTATGAGTGGTAGTGAGGTATCAGTGGTAGGAACTTCTAAACAGAACAAAATCAAGTATTCTGTTCATATGTAAAATAAAAACTCAAGAACAGGAGTCTTGGCAACACTAAGAAAACCCTCCAATGTACCTGCTATCACCCAGGACTGATGACGGGGGTGCATTGAGAGGCGTCTGATCCGAGCCCTGGAAGGATGGCAGTGACTGGAAATTGGCAACTGGAACCTCATGTCCCAACAAGCCATGGTACCACTGCTTGTACCTTAAAGAGAAAAAAACAAAACGCCCAAAAGATTACCATATAATGATTAAAGCATATCAGACTACATTTATACAAATGGTAAACAGCATTAACTTTGTATAAATATATTTTAAAGCTGACTTAGTCACTGAGAAAAAATCTTTGTTGTCATGAAGCTGTCTCTCAGTTTCAAACCACCTTTAGTTATTAAAGAACAGAGATAAAAGTGCTTATCACAATACTATTACAGAAGTGTCTAACAAATGTAAATTGAAATGAGTAATTCATTAATTACTGGCACTGTCATTAACTGCCAAAGGCACACAAAAAACACCCAGAAAACTAGAGGATACAAATTGAATTTGATACTCAAAATGTTCAGAAGCCTTAAATAACCAGAGATGTTTTACTGGCATTCAATGAACATCTTACCAATCCCACAGTGGCAAGCAGCATTGTAGCTATCCCAGATTTCAATAATTTTCATGCGCCTTTTTCCACAAAACATCCTGGAGACAGGTATGGGTGTCTAGTCATAGAAGAAACTGGCATATGTTCCTGCACATCTGCCCACAGCAACTCAAATCCCACAGACAATGCCGCCCATCCCAAAAGACTGTACTTAGCAGCTGACTGTGACAGAGGCACCGAACATATTCTTGGACAGATCTCCAATGCCACAGGAGAGACTAGGGGGTGGGAAAAGAAAAGAACAGCGGGGTCTTTCAGTTTGTCACCGTGGCCTATACCAGGACAATGGCCCAAATGACTACAGCAGTAATGGCTGCCCCCTCAAAGCTGGCCTGGTTGCCTGAGAGAGCCACTGCCATTTGCTAATACACTAAGTGTTGAATATCTATTCTTCTAGGCCTGGCATTTCATCTTCCTGTACCTGTACAGTTTATTCACACAAAAGGCAAGAAATAATGCATTCCATATAAACTCTATAAAGAGTAATGAAAGGGCAGATGTTTCACAATCATAAATGCAAGTTAGGGAATCTAAAAACCAAAATTCAAACAGCAGATTACAATTCTTCTGAAAAAGCACCAAATTGGGAGGTGGGGGGCGGGAAGGATGATGTGGTACCTTCTTAAGGAGCATGTTCAAAGCTCTATGGAGGGGAAAAATGTGAAACTACAATATGGCAAAGAAGCAAGATCACATGGTACATCTCCAACCTTTGAGGAATAGGAGGCAGGAAGGAATAATAAGGCAAGAAATCATTCTGCACCAGGCACAGTAATAGTTACTTTCACCTCATTAAAAAAATCCTTAAAGCAGCCCCTTGAAGGATTAGCCCCTTAAAGGAAACTGAGACTTAGAGGAGTTAAGTAGTTTGCCTGAGGGTTATTGGAATTTAGGAGTCTGCCTAAACTGAAATGTTCTCATTCATACACCAAGCCTGCTGCTTCCCTGGCAGAATAAGAGAATGCCAGCCAATCTGATCGCTGTCATGATTATAAAGAGGCTCATTTAAGAACAAAGAGGAAAAAAAAGAAATTGTCTTATGCATTCAGATATATAATTTCACTCTTTCCAATCTGTTTTTTAATGAATAAAAATTAAATTGCAAGTGCTTATAATACAATGATTATGAAAAGATAAGATGGGAACAAAAGAGAAAAAGCTTTTACAAGGAGGCAATCCAGACATCATGGCATTCAAACCTCAGTCAAGGATCTGAGAGTGAGCTTACCAATGCAGAGCCAGCACTGATGGATGTCCACAGCAAAGGAAGTTATGAGGCCTGACTTCAAATCGTGCTTTAATGTCCACGCGTTGCTTGAAGACCTGAGGTCCCAGCCAACCAGAGAGCCGTTCACAGTGGCATAGGCCAGAACGGACTGTGCCCCAGAGTTGAAGTGATGCATATCCACAACACAGCCATCCTCCTTCGGGTCTAGAATCCTAAAGAAATACACAAAAGGCCAAACCTTTTCCAGTCTGAAGACATAGTACCGGACTCCATTAAGATAAATGTACATCTAATCATGGTCAAAACATAAAGATTGTGTGACTCATTAGGATATCAAACCTTTATCAGTACATATGCTTTTGCACACACTAATTTAGTTTTCACTCTTAGATCATCAGTCAGCAAACATTTTCTGTAAGAAGCCAGATAGTAAATATTTTAGACTCTACAAGTCACATACATTTGTACTGCATGCTTTTTTTTTTTTTTTATACAACTCTTTAAAAATACAGAAATCATTCTGTTTATGGGCCATACTGCAGGCTGTAGTTTGCTGATCACTCTGTCTTAGATAAATAATTATATTCACAAATATTCTCTTACAAACTATATTCCCTCTAAAGTGATGATGGAAGTCCAAATGCCAAATAAACTGTGTCAAAGTTAACAGTTGATCTGATTGAATGATGCAAACAAAACAAAAAAGAAAAAGGGGCCATGGAAAGGTTTCTTTGAAACACACTACTGTCAGATACAGTGAAATCTAAATATCCTGGCATAATCTCCCAATCTAGGTAGTCCGTGTTTGTTTAGGGCAGTGATCAGCAAACTCATTAGCCGAAAAAACAATACAATGATTTAAATTTCTTTTGAGAGACAAATTTTTTAAAACTTAAACTTTTTCTAATGCCTAGGACGTGGTATTTTGTGGAAGAGCCACACTCAAGGGCCAACAGCTGCATGTGGCTCACGATCTGCAGTTTGCCGACCACTGGTTTACGGTAATAAGCATACTGAAAAGCACTAGTAGCTGAGAGTGATCCATGCACAGACTGAGCATGTCAGTGTGTGTGCCCTGCCAGCACAATCACTACACAACACATTTTCCCAATAGCTCTTTGTTACTTTACATGGAACTCAATAGGTATATTGCTGTAGTCATCCTCTGCTGAAACAATTTTAAAGAAAACTGCCGATAATAGTGTTTTGGTTAAATGTCATATATAGTATATCCCAGACATAAGTTGGCCAAAACTGTTTCATGAATATGTAAAAAAAAATAACACACTTTCAATACAAACAAATGACAAGAACCTACGTGATCCAACAAACATCTTTTTCTGCCTTAGCTACCTCAATGGGTATGACTTATAATCCACTTAACTATGAGCATCTGCTCATTCTGCTTTTTCCCCTTAGGGCCCACCACCCCTGCCGGCCCTGCCTGCTTTAGCTGGCTAGCTTACACTTGGTCTCATCTCTTCCAGACCTTCTTTCTTATTCCCTGTAATATGGAACATTATCACACTGCACTGAAATCATCCTCCCATACACTGTAGTTCCTTAGAGAGCAGTAACGTATTTTGTCTTTGGAACCCTCAGTGTGTAGCATACTGGTCACTTGAAAATTGTCCTGCTTTATCTTTAAATATCTTACTTGGCAAGTGTTTATTCTGCAAGAACCTCTTAAATAAAATCTGCCAGTATTTTGTTTTAAAATGATAAGCTAATCATCTGAAAAGCTACACTCCAAGTTCCCAACAACTTCAAAGATTTTAATGACAAGTGACATTTGACATTTGAGTCTTCTTTAATGAAAAACACCCATATTCTCAAAATCAGCTAGCCAGAGTTCTGCTTTTAGTAACTGAGAGATAAGATGTAACTGATAATTAGATTATTCAGATGTATTCCAGATCAGGATGAGCAAGTTCAAAATTGCCCTTCTAATCTTTTGACAAATTGGCAGAAAATAAAACAAGCAACATAGTTTTCTAAAACTAACTATATGTGATAAAGATTTGAGTTGAAAACACAACTGTATTTCACATGCTTAAAAATAGAAGTGCAATGTAATAAATCCTCAGCTGATCCAAACTACATTGAAGAGGGAGGGCTAAATTACCCCAGGGCTCTAAATGCAGTTAAAAAAAAAAAACCACCACACAAAAGATAGATACCTGTTTTGTAGAGGATGAATTTTAGGAGACTTGGGCAACTTAGAAGCCTCAATTCCAAGAAGCTGGACAGCACCATTATCAGACGCTATGGCCAAGTAGTGAGAACCCTGGCAGAATGTGAGTGTCTTTACATGTCCTCCAATTCGGCTATATGTAAGAATAGATCTGCACAAAAGAAAAGTAGGATTGCATTTCTGAAAGGCCACAAGAGCATTATTATTGCTAATATTAAATAAATACTATAACTTTAACAAAAAAGTACTACTTTGAGGTCCATTACATCTCCTTGATCTCGTAACAAAAACAAAAATCCCACTCAAAGGCACAAATTCACCTTTTCTTCTGATAATTTCAAATGGCTGTCCTGGTTTGGCTCAGTGGATAGAGCGTCAGCATGTGGACCAAAGGGTCCGGTCAAAGGCACATACCTGGGTTGCAAGCTCCTCTCCGGCCCAGGCCCTGGTTAGGGCTTGTGCAGGAGGCAACCAATCAATGTGTTTCTCTCACATTAATGTTTCTCTCTGTCTTTCCCTCTCTCTTCCACTCTTCCTAAAAATCAATGGAAAAATATCCTCGGGTGAGGATTAAAAAAATAAAAAGGCTATCCTCACACACTTCTCTCCTATCGCAGAAAGACTATTCATCCTTCTTTCCAATTGGAACTCCCATCCTTGTGGTCCTGATGCAGTTCTCCTTCCACTCCTGCAAAACCTTAAACCTTACTCGTACATCCTTCAGTTACTCTATAATCCCCAAGGGCAGCCTGGCACAGCAGGAAAATGCCAGCATGGAAGCAAAGAGCTGAGTTCCACACTACTGACTACCATATGACCGTGGTCAAATTACTTAACCTACTCTATCTCAGTTTACTCATCTACAAAACAAGGACTGCCAAATTAACTAATTGGGACATAGTAAAGCTCAAATAAACTATAAAACATCAATAAAGGCAAAATATTATAATATTCAGTCTCTCCCACACACATGCTGACCTCTCAAGCTGTCTTCCTTCCTTATATTCATTGCAAAGTTCTTGATTATCTGATCTACATAGGATGCCTGCCCTCCACTATTACCAACTCCCTCCTTCATTACCCTACACATAGGTAATTGCATAGTCACCCCCTAAGGAGCCATACTCTAAAAGGTCTCAAGCCCTCATCAGAAAATTAATCTCTATATTTTGTAATTTATTTCATCTGTACCCATTAGCAGTCACTCCCTAGTGTTCCCTCCCAGCTCCTGGCAACTACTAATCTATTTTGTTTCTATGGATTTGTTTATCCTGGACATTTCATATAATGGAATCATATATGCTAGATGGCCTTTGGATCATGCTTCTTTCACTTAGCATAATGTTTTCAAGATTTATCTATGTTGCAGCAAGTGTCAGTATTACTAGTATTGCTAAGTAATATTCCACTATATGGATATACCATCTGACAGCTGACAGACGTTGTGGTTTCCACTTTTTAGCTATTGATATTATGAAAAGTGCTGCTCTGAACACTAGTGTATAGATTTTTGCGTGAACATGTTTTCAACTATTTGAGGTTTTTCTACCTATGAGTGAAATTGCAGGATCATATGGTAACTCTATGATTAGCATTTTGAGAAACTGCCAAACTGTTTTTGCAAAGTTGCTATACCATTTTATATTCCCACCAACAATGTAGGAAAGTTCCAATTTCTCCCCATGCTAACACTTGTTACTGTCTTTTTTATTACAGTCATTCTAGCGGGTGTGAATTAGTATCTCATTTTGGTTTTGTTTTCCTTGTCGTAGTGATAAATGATGTGAAGTACCTTTTCAAATACTTTTGGGCCCTATTTGGAGAAAAATCTATTTGAATCCTTTTTTTTTATTGTTGCTTTTTTTATTGAGTTGAATTGAGGTGCATGTGTTTGCAACTATTATGTTTTCCTGAGGCACTGACCCTTTTATTATTATAAAATGTTCTTGTCTCTAGTAGCAATTTCTATCTTAAAGTTTATCTTGTCTGATATTAATATAGCCTCACCAGCTCTCTTAGATACTGTTTGCATGGTATATCTTTTCAACCATTTCACTTTCAACCCATTTGTGACTTTGAATTAGGCAGCACAGAAATATCATGTTTGTTCATCCTTTCTGCCTTTTGTTTAATGTGAGTCCCAATAAGGCAGAATTTATGTATGACATTTTGTTATTTGTTTTCTCTTTCTCACATGGTTTTTGTTGTTGCTGTTCTTTTGTTACTGCCTTCTTTTTTGTTAAAAATCTATTTTTATATCCATTTTAATTCCCTTGTTGTTTCTTTCACTATGTTTCTGAGTTTTACTAAATATTTTTAACATTTTATTTTTTAGTGATTGCCCTAGGAAATACAATAACATCTAAAAGTGATCAAATTAGCCGAAGCCGGTTTAGCTCAGTGGTAGAGCGTCGGTCTGCGGACTGAAAGGTCCCGGGTTCGATTCCGGTCAAGGGCATGTACCTTGGTTGCGGGCACATTCCCAGTAGGGGGTGTGCAAGAGGCAGCTGGTGGATGTTTCGCTCTCATCGACGTTTCTAGCTCTCTATCTCTCTCCCTTCCATTCTGTAAAAAATCAATAAAATATATTTTTTTAAAAAAATAAATAAAAAATAAATAAAAGTGATCAAATTAATACTACCGTGTTTCCCCGAAAATAAAACATCCTCAGAAAATAAGACCTACTTACAGGTTTCCTTCTGAGTGAAATATAAGGCATCCCCCTGAAAATAAGCGCCCCCCCTCTCCCCGCCCCCGGCTCTGTCTCAGAATGATACTGCTAAACATGAGAGATTTGGTCTACTGATTCTGAAAGAAATGGAGTCACAAGAAGTTCACCAGGAAATTCAGGAATTGGATTGTTATGATGATGTTCCAGAAGATGATGACATGATTGCCATTGAATAAATGAGTAAATTCTTGATACTGTAGGATTCACAGTTTGTCTGGTTTGTGTTGACAACTACTGTACTAACCGTACCGTATACAGGTAGTAATAAATTTCCTTTATTTTCATTTAACAATAAATGTGTACCGTATTCTTCTTCATGGGAAAATAAGACATCCCCTGAAAATAAGATCTAGCACATCTTTGGGAGCAAAAATTAATATAAAACACTGTCTTATTTTCGGGGAAACAGGGTAGTTTAATTTTAATAAACAAAAACTTTGTTCCAATATATCTCTCTTGCCTCCTGCTCCCTCCTCTGTACTATTATTGTCATAAATTATTTATTTATATAAGCCCCAAAATACAGTTTTACAATTTTTCTTTGTAAGTTATTTTTAAGTTAGTAGGTAAAAATAGTTACAAAAAATAATTTATATTCTCATATTTATGTACATATTTTTTCAGTGCTCTATTTCTTCAGGGAGGTTCAAATTACTGCCTTGTGTCTCTTCCTTTCAGCATCAAAAATTCTTTTTAGGGAAAATCTGCTAGCAATAAACTCCCTGTTTTTATTTCCCTTAGATTTTCTTCCTTTTACATATATAAAATTCTTTATTTTACACACACACACACACACACACACACACACACACACACACACACACTAGAGGCCCGGTGCATGAAATTTGTGCACGGGGAGGGAGGTCTTTCAACCCAGCCTTCACCCTCTCCAATCCAGGACCCCTCAAGGGATGTCCAAACTGCTCTCTCACAATCCAGGACTGCTGGCTCCCAACTGCTTGCCTACCTGACTTCCTGATTGTCCCTAACCACTCCTGTCGGCCTGGTTCCCCCCCAACTGCTCTTCCCTCCTGGCCTGGGTCTCCCCCAATGCCTTTCCCTGCAGGCCCAGTCGCCCCCAACTTCCCTCCCCTGCAGACTTGATTGCCCCGAACTGCCATCCCTTGCAGACCTGATCCCCTCCAACTGCTCTCCCCTCCTGGCCTGACTGCCCACAACTACTCTCCCTTGCAGGCCTGGTCCCTCCCGAGTGCCCTACCCTGCTGGCCATCTTGTGGCAGCTATCTTGTGTCCACATGGGGCCAGCAATCTTGTGTGTTGGAGTAATGGTCAATCTGCATATTACTCTTTTATTAGATAGGATAGAGGCCCGGTGCATTGATGGAGGCCAGCTGGTTTGCCCTGAAGGGTATCTCGGATCAGGGTGCGGGTTCCCTTGGGGTGTGGGGCAGCTTAGGCAAGGGGCCTGTGGTGATTTGCAGGCCAACAATGACCCCCAGCAACCCAAGCAGAGGCCCTGTTATCTGGGATTATCTTCTATAATTGAAACATTGTAACCTTGATCAAAGCAAGCCTCCTGCTTGCTCTATGGCCGCAGTAATTTTTGTTGGGATTTATTTATCTTCTAGATATAATTGAAACTTTGTAGCCTTGAGCAGAGGTCACGGAAGGCCAAGGCTGTAGAAGCTTGGCTTCTTCCATCGCCGGGGACAACTCAAGCTCCCTGCTCTCTCTAGCTCTGTGGCTGCAGCCATTTTGGGGGGGGGGGGGGGTTATTTATCTTCTATAATTGAAACTTTGTAGCCTTGAATGGAGGGCTGGGCCCACCAGAGTATACAGAAAGCTTGGCTTCCTCCATCACCGGGGAAACCCAAGCCTCCTGCTTGCTGCAGCTTAGAGGTGCATGAAATGCAGGCCCTCTGGGGCAGGGAGGTCTCTCAGCCCAGCCTGCACCCTCTCTCAGTCTGAGAGCCCTTGGGAGATGTCTTAGCACTGCCATGAAGGTGGGAGAAGCTCCCGCCACCGCCGCTGCACATGCCAGTCTATGAGCCCGGCTTCTGGCTGAGCAGAACTCACTCTGTGGAAGCACACTGACCATCAGGGGGCAACTCCTGCAGTGAATATCTGCCCCCTGGTGGTCAGTGCGCATCACAGCCACTGGTCGTTCTGCCATTTGGTCAATTTGTATATTAGCCTTTTAGTATATAGGATGTTTGTAAGAGAAGCACTTATGGAAAATATAATCTAGAATACTACAAAGGATTGAATTGAAAAATCTATGTGAAAGTTTTAAAAAGAGCAATTTTTCAAGTAGTCCTTAAGGAACAAATTAAAAGCATAATTCAAAGAAAATGGCAGAGCCAAGATCCAGGTGGCCTAAATCACCAATCATAATTCAATCAAAAAGTTGGGACTGGGAACTGGGTAGTCAATCCACCAACATAACACATAGGGGAGAAGCATCAGTAGTCAGAATGTGCCAATAACATTTCCTGAGAAAACACATCACTTTTATTGCTCTAACCCAGCCACCAGCTGTTCCTCACTGGGTTCTGGCACTAATAATGACCTGCTTCCCCCCTCATCGGTTCATGAAGGCATGTGATGAGAGCAACACATTCTGTTCCCTTCCCTTCTTCCCCACCCCAGACCTGGAATAAAGCACCTCCAAGCCAAGGCCTATTGCACTCAACAAGAGAGCAGGTGTTAATGGCAAAGCAAGAGAACAGATGCACTCAGGGGAAATCCAATCTCAAGTTTGAAGATGGATTCATCTGTTAGCTTTGCAAAATCTCACTTGTTAATTCCCACAAGTTTTTTACCACAGAATCATGCTCTCTGTATCCCAGCATCACATCTTAGGCAGTGGCATTCAAGTGACACATTTCAGACAAAGCTAACAGATGAATCCAACTTCTAACTTGAGAAGTTTCTAATGTAAATTAAACTTATCCTCCTAATAAAAGTGACAATGAATGCAGATGATGATGGCAATAACAAAGAACCATTTGGAAAGTAATATCAGAAGAGATGTTTAAAATGTTTATAAAAATGCTATTAACAGTGGGGGAAGAATTAAAAAATGGTTGTAAGCCAGGAAGAGGCAGGGATTGTATGTGGAAGAATATGAGGGGAATAAGCTGGTATGTTGCTCATGCTCTGTATCTCTAGAGAAGTTTAAGTTGCACAGATGTATTTGTTAAAAATCATGGAATGGTTCACTTAAGATCTGTGTACTTCATAACATAAATTTTATGCCAAAAAAAAAACTATAAATAAATATTGAGTTCTAGTTAATGATAAGCAAGTAGTTTTTAGAGGAAGTTTACTGATGTCCACAACTTACTTTGAAATCCATATTTTAAAGATGGATAATTATAAGAGCAAATATAATAAAATTATTACAAAATCTGCATGGCAAGTACATAGATGTTCACTTGAGACGCAACTTTTCTTGTACATTTGAAAATTTCATTAAAAAATTTGACAAAAAATTGCTATATGGACCCAAAAATCTCATATCATTTTTGATTTATATTCTGACCAATGCAATGCCAAGAGAAAATGAATAGGGAAACAATAATTAAGCATGGTATAAAAATATAGAACCCTTTTTAAAAAAAAATGAATAGCACAAATTTGTATCAGAGTGGTAAGGAGTAAACTTTTAGGTATCAAAGCTATTTTGCTATTTGATTATTTTGTGGTTAACTATGGTTAATGAACTAATAAGAAAAGCACCAGAGATTCCCCACATCATCCTACCTAATAAAAGAGCAATAGGCAAATTAACCATCACTCCACCACACCCACGAGACACGCCTACAAGCCACACCCACCCACCTATTAGAGCGAGTATGCAAATAAACCCAACCAAGATGGCTACAGCCACAGAGAACAGGAGGGAGGCTTGAGTTTCCCAGGCAACAGAGGAAGCCACGCTTTCTGCCTGCCCTTGCCAGCCTAGGCCTCCACTCAAGGCTACAATTTCAATTATAGAAGGTAAACAAATCCAAACAGAAATGGTTGCTGGCCACAGAGTGAGCAGGAGGCTTGGCTCCGCTCTAAGCCACAAAATTTCAATTGTAGAAGATAAATAAATCCCAGAAACCAGGGCCTCCGCTTGGTTCACCAGGGAGTATGGCTGGCCTGCAAACCACCACAAACCCCTCGCTCAGGCCACCCCACACCCCAAGGGAACCCCCACCCTGATCTGGGACACCTTCAGGGCAAACCAGCTGGCCCCAACCTGTGCATCAGGCCTCTATCCTATCTAATAAAAGAGTAATATGCAGATTGACCATTACTCCAACACACAAGATCAAGATAGCTGCCCCCATGTGGACACAAGATGGCCAGGAGGGGAGGGCAGTTGGAAGGCACCAGGCCTGCAAAGGAGGGCACTTGAGAGGGACCAGGTCTGCAAAGAGTGGGCAGTTGGAGGCGATCAATCCTGCAGGGGAGGGCAGGTAGGGGCGACCAGACTGGCGGAGGAGGGAAGTTGGAGGCACACAGGCTGGCAAGGGCAGGCAGAAATTAGACATCAATCAGGCCGTCATGGGAGTGGTTAGGGGGTGATCAGGCTGGCAGGCAGAAGCAGTTAGGGGCAATCAAGAAGGCAAGCAGGCAAGCAGTTGGGAGCAAGCAGTCCTGCAATGTGAGAGGGATATCTAACTTCCGGTTTAGCCCGGTGAGATTGGGCCTAAATGGGCAGTCAGACATCCCTCAAGGGGTCCTAGATTGCAGAGGGTGTAGGCTGGGCTGAGGAGTCCCCTTCCTCCCCCCACCCCCCCAGTCCCGTGCACAAATTTCGTGCACCAGACCTCTAGTTTTATGTTCATAAGATTCAACTTTAATTTCTACCAGTTTTCTTTTCAGATTCATACCAAACTAGGCACAAAATATGAATATGGCAGAATTGATGTTAATGGGGAGCTGGGGGAAGGGATGGGGGGTGGCAGAAAGATTGCATATCAAGGACCTAACTACAGAGCAATACAAATTTGAAATACTTATAATCACACTTATCAAAATCACATCATGCATATTTAAGTTTTTAGTATTTCAAGCCATAAGCTATCTCTATTTTGACAATTAACAGTGGGGCAATGGTAGTATGTGTTTCCTTGCATAGTCAGCCATTCCATTATTTATTGAGTTTTCTCTTACTCATACTTCATCTAATCCATTCAGCAAATCAGCTTGGCACCACCATCAATATCTACACCTCTTCCTTGAATTACTATAAAGGCCTAACTGCTTCTGTTCTGTAACTTTTCAATCTATTCTCAACAATCTAACACAGATCACATCTCTCCTCTGCTCAGAACCCTTCAAAGGTTCCCCATTCCCTCAGAGTAAAAGTCAAAGTCTTTTAAAACAGCCTATATGGCCCTATATAATGTGGCCCCTTTGTTCCTCTCTCTCATTCATTCTGCTCCAGCCACACGGACCGTTCTGTTGTTCCTCAAACATGTCAAACATCTTTCTACCTCAGGGCCTTCAAAATCCCTGTTTCCTCTACTAAAATGCTTCTCCCAAGACATCCATATGCTTCTCTCCCTCACCTTTTTCAGGTCTTTCCTCAAATTATGTTTCTCTTTGTGAAGTATTCTCTGGCCAATTTATTTAAGATTCTACCCTACTGCATTCCCTATCCCCTCTTTCCTGCTATCATTTCCTCCATAACATTTTTTATCAACTAACATACTGTATGTTTTACTTATACTGTTTATCGTCTATCAGAACAATGAAAATACCACAGAAAAGGTGTTTTTGTCCATTTATCACTGCTGTATCCCTGGCACTAAGATAATGCCTGCCACACATAGTGTAAGCAATCAATCAATATGTTAACTGAATGAATGAATGGACTCTCCCCCTAAGCATATTTTACCTGGTGGTAGTGGTTTTCCCCTCCATCTTTTGACTGTTCCAGATTTTCACTGTACCATCATTTGAACATGTTGCAAAAAGTGAGTGTTCATCAGAGACTCTAATTCGATTCACAGCAGATTTATGTTCATGAAGATGTGCAACTAGGAGCCCTTTAGGACGCCACCCTGAGGACAAGCAAATGAAACATTTATAAACACAATCTTTCCATCAGCCGCCCTCCCCCCCACACAAACACCTATAATCAGCATGAGAACAATAATAAGAACTAAACAAAGAGTGCCAATACAGAGTGGTCTAGTGGGCCATGACAGATACTATTATCTATAAAGACATCCAAGATAACAATTAAGTATTTCTAAGGCAGCCTTACAATGACTGGAGTCCTCTAATATCTGAGAAGAGACAATAGTAGCTTACTACCCAGAAAAACCCTGACTACTTGCTAGGTAGCAAGAGGTAACGACTATCCTGACCTAAAGAAATTGGATGCTAGAAAGGCAGCCTGAGCCTGAAATTCTCAAAGACCCGGATTCACTATACCATAAATGTCTGATCTGAGGGTACATATTTAAACTCTCTGAACTTCAATTCCTCAAATGTAAAATGAGTGAAATATTACTTCAACCAAAAGCTCACTACATGGGTAAATGAGATGTATAGAGTCTAACACTGACCCAAGTGCATGGTAAGTATTCAATGTTGATTACTTCTCTACCTGCAGTCATTTAATCTATGGCATTAACATGCTAGTATAAATGATATTATAAATTACAGCCTCAGAATGGCCATGAATTTTCTAGTACTTTTTTATGACATCTACTAATATACCTTTCTGTTTTATTATATATTTTTTTGTGTATATGTAATTTCCTCTAATAAATTATAAATTCTGCCGGGACCGGTTTGGCTCAGCGGTAGAGTGTCAGCCTGCAGACTGAAAGGTCCTGGGTTCGATTCCGGTCAAGGGCATGTACCGTGGTTGCGGACACATCCCCAGTAGGGGGTGTGCAAGAGGCAGCTAATCAATGATTCTCTCTCACCGATGTTTCTAACTCTCTATCCCTCTCTCCTCCTCTCTGTGAAAATTCAATAAAATATATTTTTTTTTAAATTATAAATTCTCTGAAGCTAAGACACCATGTTTTATCTATTCTGAATAACTCACAGTATCTAGCATGTCCTTGCACATAACTGTCTTTAAGGTTTGATGAATAAAATTCTATAGTATGTGCAACATTTCATCATTTTTAATATTAATTTAAAAAAACAAAACAGAAAGCTACTCTAAAGATCATACTATATTAGGAGTTAGCCCTGTGTCTACTTAAGTAATAACAATGTCATTTTAGGATGAAATTCTTTTTTATCAAGAAACAAAAATAAAACCAAGACTACTTCCAAACTTGGCTTACACTAAGATAAAAAATACAATGTTCCTCTTGAATCTCTAACCCACATGTGTGAGAAGAACAGCTGGATATGATTTTTAAGGAAGATATGCTGGATTTGTAAACTATCAAAATACTTTGCCAGGAAGTCTAGATAATCTCCCAGGCTAGGTTGAGCATTTCCCTCTAGAGAAAATCAATTTCACACAACAACTCAAGTGTGGGGAGAAAAAGTAAGAGCCTAACCGTCACTGCACATTTCTTGAACCACAAAATTTGACACCTTTTCTGTGATTAATATGTAAAGTGTATAACAACTCCACTTAAAGTACAAAATGCCACTTAAAAAAGACAGGTTCTATCAAAAAGTAAAATAGCTTGCAGTCAACTTTTTTTTTTTTAAAGCAGTGTTGGTAAATAATATTGAACTATATTACAGAAACAACTTAAATATTCCACAATATTTATTTTGATAAGAAAATTTATGACTTCAAAACACTAATAACCACTTAACAATATTTTCTAAATCTTTAAATCATTTATCTATACTATCCTTTTCCCTGAGTTCACAAAAAAAGCCCATAGAAATTCACATAATTTTAAATTCACATAACCACACTATACATTTCTCCTCAATATTCAAGATAAATTTTTATTATTAAAAAATCTATTCATAGAAACTCATTAAAAATGTTTTTCAGCCAAAACATTGATGAATAAAATTCTATAGTATGTGCAACATTTCATCATTTTTAATATTAATTTAAAAAAACAAAACAGAAAGCTACTCTAAAGATCATACTATATTGTAAACTATCAAAATACTTTTAATAATTTTAAATTAATATTAAAAATGTTTTTCAGCCAAATGTTTTTGGCTCAGTGGATAGAGCGTCGGCCTGCAGACTGAAAGGTCCCGGGTTTGATTCCGGTCAAGGGCATGTACCTTGGTTGCGGGCTCATCCCCAGTAGGGGGTGTGCAAGAGGCAGCTGATCGATGATTCTCTCTCATCGATATTTCTGACTCTCTATCCCTCTCTCTTCCTCTCTGTAAAATATCAATAAAATATATTTTAAAAAATAAAATAAAATAAGTTTTTCAAAATCTGCAAATCTAATATGAAAAACTAGCTCACATTAAGTTGGAAAAGTCATAACTGAGCCACGTTTTCATCTGAAATATCTAACTTTCTTTTAAATCTCAGCATGTAGGACTATTTCCCCCAAAATCTTAATGTTGATAATTGTTGAATGGTTGGGTATAGGTAATTTTGTTTTCTTTTCAAAGCGCCCATAATTTTCTGTTTTTAATCATTTTTTAAAAGAAAATTAAGATGTTGCCTTAGCCGGTTTGGCTCAGTAGATACAGTGTTGGCCTGCAGACCAAAGGGTACTGGATTGGATTCTGGTCAAGGGCAATTTCCTTGGTTGCAGACTCCTTCCCAACCCAGGTAAGGAGTTGGTGCTCTCATGCAAGAGGCAACCAATAGATGTGTTTCTCTCACATCAATGTTTCTCTCTGTCTTTCCCTCTCTCTTCCAAAAAAAAAAAAAATCAATTGAAAAAATATATCCTCCAATAGGATTAATTAAAAGAAAATTAAGATGTTAAACCCTTCAGAAATTAAAAGGTGAAAAAGAAGCATGACATTCAATGAGAAAGCAGTATAGCATTAACGCTAGCAGGTAAAACCTAACTTGGTAAATGGGGAAAATGGGCAACAGACAGGTTAAAACAGTGACTTAAATAAGACACTGCAAGTTGTCCCTACACCTAAAATGATCCAAACTCCACAATTAATGACTTTAGATTTTTCACTTACTGCTTCCTCCTCTAGGCTTCCAAAGTGGCAGTCTGTTCTGACTCCCTCTGCCTGGTAGTTAATTATCAGTACCCTGCATTAGATTCTAGGCTTCAGCACCCAGGCTGGAATACAACTGCCTAGTAATGGCACCTTACCAGGCGGTGGTGGTTTACTCTCCCACTCTGCATTTTCCATCATCTGCTTAGCTATTCTCTCAGCATTGCACTGCTCCCGCTTTTGCTGTATGAGTTGCTGAAGCTCAGTTTTACAAGTCGTGTTCCGAATCTGGCAGGTGGACGGTAAAATTGTACTACTTAAAACCTGTATTGTTGGTTTTCTACTTTGGGCATGTGTCACTTCTGGAACCTACAAAACAAATAGAATTTCAGGTATTTATATTATAAGCAAAGTATATCTGTTGATAAAAATGTACCTAAGTTCTCTTTATTCATTAAATAAGCTTTTTGTCCTTATTAATATACTGATTTTTAAATACATTCAAATATAACGATGCTTTCAATGAAAACCTAGTTAAAATTAAGTTTAACCACAATATTAGATATGCAAACTTCTACATTAAAAAAATCAGTGTAGCAATAACAATAAACAAAATCCTCATTAAGTTAAGCGAAAAGAATATTATGTTATCCATTCAGTAAATATTTTCATTTAAGATATGACTCGCTAGGGAAGAGTTACCTTAAATTACAAATTTACTTCAAATACATCTAAATCATTATGTTATTCTCACACAGGGCAAACCTGGGATTTTTCTTCCCAGAAGAGTTTTTGTTATTTACAGATATAATGATGTTATACTAGAGGAAGAATAAAAAGAGAATTAAAAGGTTCACTGCACACTAATTTATAATCACAGTTCATAATGATGTCTCCAATCACAATTTCAAATCACTTTATTAGTGAGTACTCTAAAACAGGACCCTTTTTGATGCTTTCAAAAACTAGATTTCCCCTTGGCTATAAAATTAAACATAAACCTGTCTTAAAAAGAAACATGTCCTCCTAGAGTACAGTACACAGCCTTTAAACATCCAGAAGGAAGACTATTGATAGGTGACAGTACCTGCGGAGAAGTTGACAAGGGGACACAAATGCCAGCAGAGGACTCAGAACGAGAAGGCTTCCCAGTCTGAATCACCTCCTGGTCACTCCCTTTAGGTAGGGCCTGTGGAATGGTCGGTGGTTCCAGTGACCCAAACATGCTTTTCCATTCTTCATTTACATTTGAGTCTTGTTTGACATGTTTTCTAGCTACAAAAACAGATTCAGAAGAGACTGAAGGAAACCTCTAAAACCAGTATGTAGTTTTATTGCTTTTGTTTTTTGTTGTTGGTTTGTTTTTTTGGTGGAGGAGAGACAGCAATGTACTTTCACCCTATTTGTTCTTTATGATCTCCAAAATATTTATACTAAAACTCATTAACTCTAGCTTCATCCCTAGGACAGATGGAACAGTTGCACCTTTAATGGTGTTAATAATTAGACCCGATTGCTTCCTAGTTTCCCAAAGGCTAGCTCACTTTCAAGTAACACTTCATCTGAAGAACTAATAACAAAAATAACTTTTTCAAATGCCAATGACCCCACTGCTAAATATTAATATGACCTATTTCTAGGATTGGTTGCTGAAGAAAACAAAGTGAAAATAGAATAAAAAATCAATTGTTATACAGCTATCTCCTGACCATAAACAGATGAGAAATCATCTTTGTCCAATTACAAAATGTATATTAAGTGACACAAAGTTCCAGAATTACCAAAATATAATATGAATTACTCCCATAAGTTTGTATGCCTCATAAACTATATAGTTTAGTGATACACTGCCATATTACTTTACAAACATAATATACGCTATTTCACAACTTGCTTTTTCTTCTAGTTAACTAAATATGTTGAACAGTTCACCAATCCCTAATGGACACTTCATTTCTTTCCTCTTCCCTCTCCCCCCACACTGAGAACATATGTATACATATTTCTTCACATGTTAGTTTTTCTTCGGAAAAATTTCCAGAACTGAAAACAGTGAGTCCAAGGACATTGCCTTCTAACAAGAGTATGTTCAATTTATAGACTCATGTACAGTGTATGAAATACCTATTTCCATACACCCCTTTTAACTCTAGGCATCATCAGTCTTTGCTAATCATATAAGCAGAAAATGGCATCTCACTGTCTTATTTCGCATTTACCTTTTCAAACATGTGCATTTCTATTATTCTATTAGTTGTATGTTCAAATCCTTCACTATTTTTCTTGTGGCAGTGCTTCCATTTTCTTATTAAATGCAATGTTTTACTTATTATGAATGCAAACCATTGCTAATTAAATAGCAAATACTTCATCCCAAATTTGGCAATTAGAGGTTTATTTTAAATATAATTCATCTGCTGCCCTCATAAGCTGATACTTGAACAGAGGAATTTTTAAAAACATGTACTTGGAAGTGATTACATCTCCAAAAAGGGTTAAGGGGAAAAGGCTTGCGATCTTAAAAACCTCATACAATCAAGGTCAGTGTCATCATTACAAAACCTGACAATTCTAAATCTAGAGATTTCAAATGATTAAGGCTTCTCTGGTCTTCACTTTCTTGCATTTCATCATTAATAACAAGACTATTCTTTTCAAATCACTGGACATTACTCACTAATAAGAAACTAGAAACATTTCATTTTACATAGACTACTCACTTTGGGTTAGTGTTTAAAGGATTAAAAAATAGAATTTCACCTTCAGTCATACACCTCCCCAGAGGCAACATGATTTTATAACAAAGAGTAGAGCTTTAGAGTCAAGCTTTGATTTGAATCTGATACATACAGAGCTGCGACTTTGACAGGTTCCTTTACCTTTGACCTGTAGTTCATTTCTCCACTTTTCCTCCCCAAATTTTCCTATTACATAATGGAGTCACTTGTTGTACATGAAAGTTCTATATCTAGGATATGTGACTTTTAGTTTATTACTAATTAGCTAACAGTAGCTTTATGACGTAACTAATAATTACAAGCTACACACACAAATGTACTAACCTCGCTTGTCATCTGGTTCCTGTTTGGTTTTAACAAGATCTACTTGTCTCCCAGTTATGCCCAAGGCAGCCAAGTCAATGACACCCTTCTGACTACTATCATGAAGATGGCTCTGGTCCACTATATTGGCCTTTGCTTTGTTAGATTTCATCATGAAGTCTTTTAATGCCAAAAGTTTGTCTTCCTCTTCCTCTGTCATTCCCTAAAACCAAATAAAACCATATGTTCTAGGTTATTTTTGCAAATAGTAACAACAGGCCTCGGAATGACTGAGAACTGAAGGGTGAAATCACTCAATTTAAAATTCTCAGAGTCAGCATGGTAAAATGAAGCAAGCAACAGGCAAGAGAAAAAGAGAGTAGCAATACAGAAAAACATCTCACTACTCTGGTTTCCCAGAACACACACTCTCCAGTAGGACACTTTCTATTCTGTATTATGATTTATATCCTAACTTTTTTCTACATGAGAGCATTCAAGTTTAATCCATTTTAGAAATTTCCAAAGAATTGAATGCAGTGCCTGGTATCTAGTAGATCTTTAATATATAACTTTGAATATTAAGTATCTAAACAATAAATCTGGAAATACACTTTTAAACAAAACAAAAAAAAAGTACACCTAAGTCCACCTTGCTCCGAGAAGTATTGAGAATATTAAATGATATACTGTGTGAGAGCACTGCATATGTACACACCCCAGGAACTGATAGGCATGGTGCTGAAATGCAGATGTGAGCATTTTTAGGATAACACTATTATAATTGGAGTCAGACTGCCTAGGTTCAAATCTCAACTCTGTTACTTACATACCTGTGTGACCTTGGGCAGCATATCCAATTTCTATGTACCACTCCTTATTTATCTACAAAATGAAGATAACTGCTAGTACCTATCTGACAAAGTTACTATTAATTTTTTATAAGGTAATCCACCTAAGACACTTAGAAAACTTGAAACTAAAAGCTAATAAATACTAAATAATTAATTTAAATAATTCATTCAATGGGCAACTTAAGTATTCTGGCAAATGGAACAATTCTGCGTTTTCTTAACTTCCCAACCATGCACAGAATCCTCTAGAATGTTATTATGCAAATAAAAAATTAATAAAATGTAAATGGCAATTCCCAAGGCCTCAATCTAGTTTAAAACAATAGTCACAATCCACAGTCACAGTAAGAACCAAAAACAAACAAAAAAACCTAGAAAGTTACAAAGCTGAGAAATAATAAAATAAAATTGCATTGAAGTACAATAATCACAGAGAGAACCTTGAGTGACTATTTTCTTATATTAACCTGAAAGTCATTTATTTTCACTTCTCCTCATGCAATCTGCTTATTACAGTTTTTTAGCTATAATAAGACTTTCATTCTTTTTTTAGTCTCTATTTTAGTTCACAAGAGAGAGACCACGAAAGGGAGAACCATTAAAAGGAATGGAGCACTGATACATGCCACAACATGCAGAAACCTTGAAAGTATTTTGCTAAGTGCCCTGGCCAGTGTGGCTCAGTTGGTTGGAGCATTGTGCAGCAAAAGGCAGAGGATTCAATTCCTAGTCAGGGCACATGCCCAGGTTGTGGGCTCAATCCCCATTGGCAGGAGATAGCCAATCAATTATTCTCATCACCGATGTTTCTATCTCTCTTTCCCCTTCCCTTCATTTCTGATATCAATATAAATAAACAAACAAATAAATACAACTATACAAAAAATATGAAACAACACTTTTCAGTCCTGGAAAACAGGCAGCATAGGGCTGTGATCTCCAAAATAAAGATGAGTTCCATAACTGTCCCAGCATACTTTCCAGAGAGTTACCAGGCCATGAAACAAGAAGGGAAAACTTAAGGGTATAGTAGAGCTGAGTTCAAAAGAGTCAAGGGTTCAAGGAAGCCAAAAGGTTAACTGTGAGGATCCAAAAACTGGATAGAGGATGGATCTGGCAGAGAGCAAGAGCTGTAGAGGTGTATCCTCAATTCTTTGCCTTATTAATACAGACATACCTCCTTTAATTGCATTTTGCAGATATTGCTTTTTTTTTCTTTTTTTTTTTTTTACAAATTAAAGGATTTTGACAACCCTACAACAAATCTATCGGTGCCATTTTTCCAGTAACATTTGCTCACTTCATGACTCTGTAATTGTTAATTCTCACAGTATTCCAAATTTTTTTATTACTATATTTTTATGGATATCTGTTATCCATGATTTTTTGTTATTACTATAACTGTTTGGGGTGCCACAAACTGTGACCACATAAAATGACAAATTTAATGGATAACTTTGTGTGTTCTGACTGCTCCACAGACCTGTTCCCTGTCTCCCTTACTCTCTTTGGGCCTCCCTATTCCTGAGGCACAAAAAATATTGAAATTAGGTCAATTAATAACCAAAATGGCCCCTAAGTGTTCAAGTGAAAGGAAGAGTCTCACATCTCTCACTTTAAATCAAAAGCTAGAAATCATTAAGCTTAGGGAGGAAGGCATGTCCAAGCTGAGATAGATCATAAGCTTGTTCTGTTATGCCAAACAGCCGAATTATAAATGCACAGAAAAAGTTCTTGAAGGAAATTAAAAGTGCTACTCCAGGGAACACACACACTTTCCTCCATTCTGTAAGGCTGAGAGAGGGGAGGAAGCTGCAGAAGAAAAGTCTGAAGCTAGCAGAGGTTGGTTCGTGAGCTTTAAGGAAAGAAGCTGCTCCATAACATAAAAGTGCAAGGTGACATGGCAAGTGCTGATGTAGAAGCTGCAGCAAGTCATCCAGAATAGCTAGCTAAGATAATTCATGAAGATGGCTACACTAAACAAGATTTCCAATGTAGACAAAACTGCCTTCTACCAGATGCCATCTAGGACTTTCACAGCTAGAAAAGGAAATCAATACTTGGCTTCAAAGCTTCAAAGGATAGGCAGATTCTTTTGTCAGAAGCTAATGCAGCCGGTTGGTGACTTTAAATTGAAGCCAATGCTCATTTACTGTTGTGAAAATCCTTGGGACCTAAAGAATTATGCTAAATCTACTCTGCCTGTGCTCTATAAATGGGATAACAAAACAGATATGACAGCATTTCTGTTTAAAACATGGTTGACTATTCTAAGCCCACTGTTGAAACCTACCGCTAAAAACAATAACTTCATTTCAAAATATTACTGCTCACTGACAATGTACTAGTTACCCAAGAGCTCTAATGGAAATGTACAAGAAGATTAATGTTGTTTTCATGACTCCTAACACAACATCCATTCTTCAGCCCATCGATCAAAGAGTAATCTCAACTTTCAAGTCTTAAAATTTAAGAAATACATTATTTTGGAAGGCTACAGCTGCCAGAGGTAGTGTTTCCTCTGATGGATTTAGGCAAAATTAATTAAAACTCTTTTGGAAAGGTTTCAAGGATTCACCATTCTAGATACCATTATGAACATTTATGGGCCCTGGCCAGTGTGGCTCAGTTGGGCATCATCCTGTGCACCAAAAGGTTGCTGATTCAATTCCCAGTCAGGGCACCTTCTCAGATTTCGGGAGCAATCACCAGTAGGAAGCATGCAGGCAGTGGCCGAATGATTTTGCACACTCACATCAATGTTTCTTCTCTCTCTCTCTCTCTCTCCACCTCCCTCCTTCCTTCTCTCCCTCCCTCCATCTCTCTTTCCATATTTCTAAAAATCAATAAAAAAAAAATTTTTTTTTTAAAAAGAGCCTTTGTGTTTCACAGAAAGAGGGCACCATATCAACAATAATAGGAGTTTGGAAAAAGTTAATTCTGACCCATGAATGACTGAGAGATTCAACACTTCAGAGAGGAAGTAACTGCAGATGTGATGGAAATAACAAGAGAACTAGAATTATAAGTGGGGCCTGAGGATTTGACTGAATTACTGAAATCTCATGATTAACTTCTAATGGATGCAAAGTTGCTTCTTATGTATGAGCAAAGAAAGTAGTATCTTAAGATGGATTCCCTCCTGGTGAAGATTATTGAAATGATGACAAAGGACTTAGAATCCATAATCATAAAAGCATAATATGCAAATCGACCAAACGACCAAACAGAACTGTCCAGATGACCTTCTGGATGACCATGCTATGACATGCACTGGCGCCAGGCCAGCCAAGGTGGATGCAATTCGATTGGTCAGGGGCTCTGCCATTGCCCCAAGATAGCAGAGGGAGGCCCAGACCACCTGTCAGTGGCACTGTGGCTGGTGTGAAGGGCCAGCCAGTGATCACCTCGCAGGGGGAGGCCCAGGCCAGCCAAGCAATTGCACCCCATGCCTCTCACCCGCAGAGGGAGGTGACCGGTGACAGGGAAGGGGGGGTAGCATGAGAAGGCACAGGCCAGGCTGAGGGAGGGACAGGGACACGGACAGACACACACACACACACACACACACACACACACACACACACACACACCTTGAACAAATTTCATGCACTGGGCCTCTAGTATTAAATAAAATTAATTGATAAAGCAGTGGCAGGGTATGAGAGGATTGACTCCAATTTTGAAAGAAGTTCTACTGTGGGTAAACAGCATCACATGCCACAGAGAAATCGTTTGTGAAAGGAAGAGTCAATCAATGTGGCAAACTTCTTGCCTTATTTTAAGAAACTGCCAAAACCAACCCCAACCTTCTCAACCACCACCTTGATCAATCAACAGCCATCAACATAGAGATAAGACCCTCTAACAGCAAAAAAATTACAACTCACTTAAAGCTCTAATAATGCTTAGCATTTTTCAGCAACGAAGTCTTATTGTTATTATTTTTAAATATATTTTTATTGATTTCAGAGAGGAAGGAAGAGGGAGAGATAGAAACATTCATGATGAGAATCATGGATCAGCTACCTCCTGCAAGTCCTCCACAAGGGATCAAACCCACAACCCAGCTATGTGCCCTTGACCAGTATCATACCTGGAAGCTTTCAGTTCGCAGGCCTACACTCTATCCACTGAGCCAAACTGGCTAGGGCAACAAAGTATTATTTAATTAAGGTGTGTACAGTATATATTTTTAGACATAACGCTACTGCACACTTTAATAGATTACAATGTAGTGTGAACATAAATTTTATATACACTGGAAAAAAATAATAACTAGTGTGACTATCTTTATTGCAGTTATTTGCTTTACTGTAATGGTCTGGACTTAATCCACAGTGTCTCCAAGGTATGTCTGTACTGAACAATGTACACATGAGAGAAAATTACCTGAGGCCCAGAAAGAACAATGAAAAAGGAAGAAGCCAAACAATTCCCAAACCTCACTTAGGGGTAGGAATCATTCATGTTCCCACTAGCCAATGTAGAAAGACCTCTTACTATACAGAGCATCATGTCCTCAGAAGTCCTAAGTAGTTGGACCAAACTGGCCATTAACCAAAGACTGCTCTGAATCTGTCCTAACAAAGCTTAAAGGCAAGGCTTAATAGGATCAAACTGGTTACAATAACTTAAGTGTACAAAAGAAGAAATCTAACACTATATAAAGAAATTCAGCACCCAGCATCATAGAATTCCCAATTAATAGACAAAGAAACTGGGTAGCTAAAGGTCAGAGATTGGAAGAGAACTTACAAATTATCTATTTTCAATTTTATATCTTGTATATATGATATACAATCAAAAGTTATTAAAATAAAAATAATTTAAAAGTTTAAAATGTAAAGTATTTGTTACTTTCAAAATTAGGAGTGAAATCATTTGTATTCTGTATTAGAGTCCAACCAAATAGATACGAACAGAACAGGGAGCTCTTGTAGCTGAGACCTATCTAAACAGCCCTGCCATGTGTCATCTCCAGATGCTAAGTACTACTGAAAATCTGGGGTACAAATTCCAACTTCCATATGGGTAATGTTCCAAAAGTGCACTTTAAGACTATTATCTGGAATTCAACACATTTTCCCACAGAAACAATGGCAGGCTGGTCTACAAAGGCCTTTTTTACCCATGATGTATTTCAAGTGTAGTTCTATACAAACAAACACTGTAGAACCCTAAGTAAAATAAATAAATAAATAAATAAATAAATAAATAAATAAATAAATAAAAAAAATCTGTAAGAATATTCAGAATTCCCACTTGTGGAGGCTATGCCATGTCTTTTCCCTCTATAGCCCTGATATTAGGATCAAGGACTCAATTCTGCTAGTAGTCCCAAAAAACTCAGGTACTGCAAGAACCAAAAAGAAGTGAAGGCAAGGAGATGAGCTGCACACGGACTTCTTCCTAAGTCCACACAAAACCTATGAAAGCTTCTCAGTCTTAGTTCCCTGTCCTTTGTTTGCTTTGAGAAGCAAGACAACACGGTGTAGAACATGAGTTTTGGAGTTAGACAGGTTTAGGTATAAATCTCAGCTTTGAAATTTAATGAACTGTGTGAGCATAGTCTGTATATATGTCTGTCTGTATATATGCCTGTCTATCTATCTATTTATCTATCTGAGCAAGTCCTTAGATGAGGATTTAAATAAAAGAAATTTGCATTTAAATGTGCGATTTCAGAAAGATGATACAACCTGTGAGAGCAGTTTCTTCAGAAGCTGTGCTATGGCAGGATCCTCAGGTGGAGGGCAATCAGGAAGAGACCCATTCCGTTTTTTCTGACGCATGTGAAGATGTCTGAACAAGCTAGTAATATCTTTCGACCTCAAAGCATAATCAAATATAGAACGACTTACTGGCTCTTTTAAAACACTGAGTAAAACAAGTTTTCTTTCAATCTGTATCAAAAAAAATAAAAAGAATCAGTCAAAACTACAATATTTTGTTCAGTTATTTTGAAATTCAATACAATTTATGTAAAGTTAACACGGGTATTTATTTTCTAAAAAAAATTCAAGACATGAACATTTGCAATTTTTGTTGAGAAGAAAAAGGACTACTCAAGGCCTTTAAAGAGCTCATTTTTTTCTTCTTTTTATTGTTAGCATCTCAGTACACATCCATATTTGTGATATTAGAAGACTAATAATAAATACCTATGCTAGAAAGTCTAGAAAATGGCCAAAACCGGTTTGGCTCAATGGATAGAGTGTCGTCGGCCTATGGGCTGAAAGGTCCCAGGTTCCACTCCGGTCAAGGGCATGTGCTTTGGTTGTTGGCACAACCCCAATGGGGATGTGCAGGAGGCAGCTTATCAATGTTTCTCTCTCATCGATGTTTCTGACTCTCTATCCCTCTCCCTTCCTCTCTGTAAAAAAATCAATAAAATATATATTTTTTTAAAAAGAAAGTCTAGAAAATGAAAAATGTTTTTCTATATCCCAAAATGTCAGGTGACTTCCTAGATCTAAAATCACCTGCAGTTCATAGGCCTAACAGACAAAGGTGCTGATCCAGAAAAGATGTGCAATAGTCACAGGGCTTCCCTGCAGCCATCAGGTTTTCCCAGTAGCTTCAATCACTTCTAAAAATCACTGCTCTCTCATAGAGTTCATAAAATCCTGCTTTTCTCTTATCCCCAAGAACATTCTCCTTGTCAATGCATTTATAATAATAATAATAATAAAATAAAAGCACTACTAAGAGTAATCAAGAGAACTTTCTTTAGATATATTTAACAATCTGGTGAGTTGGCCAGTGGAAACCAGCATTAAAGGCTATCTTTTATCTAATCCAAAATATAGAAAAATATAATTTATGAAACATCTTCTATATTTCACTCAAACTGCAGATGCTTTACAACATTACACATAAGAAAGAAAATACAGTATGAATTACTGGCTGCTATATTATGCATTACATGATACATAAGTGTCTCTTGAACGTTTCTCACCTTAATTAGCTTGAAATAAATTTGAAAATGCCCTAGCCCAAATTAAATCTTTAACATTTTAAATAAAAACTCTCTAAATTTTTTTAAATGGTTCAGTGTGAAGGAAGATTAATTTCCAAGTTGAAACATGCTTACCTGTATTATTGGTTGAGTAATATATGGGTCAAGGTAAGGCATCAGTTTACAATACACATCAGCTGTGTTTATTTGATGAGCTACCACTGTGATAAATCCCACAGCACCATAGCGTATCCATAGATTGGGATGACACAGAAATGGGGCTAAAGAAGAAAAATAATATATGGCTTAAACAATGTTCATAGTTTCAAACTATCAGGATAAATAAATTTTCACCTTATAACACAACTGATGATAAAGATTATACCACATGTTACTATCAGGTGCCCTCACATACCATTATCCTGAGGCGTAAACTCAAACAAGTGAAAATAAAACTCAGCAATACCATAAAAGAATAAAAACAGTTACCTCCTACCCTAGCCAGTTTTGCTCAGTGATTAGAATGTCTGACCACAGACTGAAGGGTCCCAGGTTCGATTTTGGTCAAGAGAATATACCTCAGTTGCAGGCTCGATATCTGGCCCCAGTTGGGGGCATGCAGGAGGCAACCAATCAATCTCTCTCTCTCTCTCATATCCATATTTTTATCTCTCTGTCTCTCCCTCTCTCTTCTACTCTCTCAAAAAATAAGTAGAAAAAAATCCTTGAGTGAGGATTAACAACAACAAAAAACATAGCTTCCTCCTTTCTGAGAATTTAAATTTATAGTTTTTAGTCAGGCCTGAAGATGGGTGGGCATCTACTCATTGAAAAGACTGGATTAGAAACTATTAAGAGACATAAAAAGTCTCAACACTATATAGAAAACTATTACTCCCCCCTTCCATTTCCCTGAGGAAGTCCATGGACACATCATCTACCACAAGAGAAGGAAACAAATAAGTCATCTCTTCTCCAAGCCATAGCATTATGATTAGGAAACAATTTCACCTGATATTCTTTTTACTGTAACAATTTGATTAAATCTTATATATTGCAAGGCATTATATGAAAACTACAAGGCAAAAAACATAATGCCCCTTCTTAAAGAGTTTAAAATATAAGATTAAACCAGAAAATTAAATGAATTCCTTTTCATCCCTTTTATTTTAACTATTTTGTGTACTACTACAATGAAAATCAGTGATTTCAAATGAAGATTTAGAAAATTCAAACTTCTAAAAGCAAAAAAAAAAAATGTATTAAACCTGAGCATGCAAAAACATCATCAGCATTTAGGGTAGGGATGGGGAATGTCTGGCCCTGCCAAGGCATTAGGGATGAGTTAATTAAATGTTTAAAATACAGCAGTCTAATTTTTAAGTTGATAATTTTGTATGGTCTGCAAATGACATTATAAATATCCAAATGGTCCTTGGCAGAAAAAAGGTTCCCTACCCCTCCATGATTTAGAGTACATTAGTTTTTACTCTGGCTGGGTAGCTCAGTTGGTTAGAGCATCATCTCCATATGCCAAGGTTATGGGTTCAATCCCCAGGGCACATACAAGAAAGAATCAACCAATGAATGCATAAATAAGTGGAACAACAAATTAATGTTTCTCTCTCATTTTCTCTAATTGATAAATTTAATTGAAAATTAAAGTATCTAGAAAATATTAACTTCATAAGAAATTCATGCCAATAGAAAAATAAGAACAATGTCATGTGCTAATAATACAGCATAAAAAAGGAGAAATAATTGTTCAAAATATGCCTCCAACATATTCTCCCATTCCAATTCTTTTAATTGCACATGGAAAAGGTTTTAATTATTTTGTAAGCATCCTGCAGCCTCTGATACATCCAACAGGGAGGACTGGTAATTTCCCTTTGATAACAGAGAAAATCAGGACTGGAAAAACACTGAAAAACCTCCAAAATGTAACTAAGACCAAAATGACTTGGCAGGAGTTGGGCACTGTGTGAGGTGGAATTATTGGTCCCAATTCTTTCCATTATCTGTTTTATATAACCATACTCTTGCCTTGTATTAATGGTTCTGGCTCAGTCATATTACCTGCTCTGGCGAATGGATGTTAACACAGAGGCTTGAAAAGCTAGGCTTGCTTTCTTGTACCTCTGCCATCACCCAAAACATAACCCCAGAATGAGACAGATGGATCACAGTCACCACAGTCTGGAGATGCAAAGCCAAAAGCATACAGCTTCCAGATGCATAATGAGAAATTTACTGAAGCATTTACTGAGATTTTGTGGTTAATTGCTATATAGCATTATTATATCAATTAGTAGCTAATAGATACAAAGAACCTTAAACACTCAAAAAAAAAAAAAAAACACTACACCAAGAAACCAGAATTAAGAGGATTTCCTAAAAACAGTGTACTCAATCTTTTCTCTACCCAAAGCATTCCAATTCTCAGGGGACAAGCATCAGGGAAGGTGAGTATTCAGAATAACTAAATGGAAGAGTACAGTTTTTGAAAGAGCTAACAAAAATATCATGATAATCACCATCACCACCACCACCACTATTCCCTTTAAAAATCACTACAAAGACTGACTATGCTAACAGAGAGATGTGTGCACTTTATCATTTGTTTTAAATAAGTGTTTCTAAATTACAAAAAAAAACTGCTTTTCTTTTAAATAGTTTAAAATGACAACAAATGATAGTTTACTTAAATTTTCTCAGCAAGTTTTCTTTTTCCACTTAGCTGGTCCAAAATTTAGTTTATTCTAAGGGAGTACCCTATCCAAGAAGTTGAACCACTACACTAGATTTATTCTATACCTAAAGATAATAATTTGTTTTTATGCTAAATTAAAGATACATATGTACTCTATGTGTTCATCGTGTGATCAATAACTAGAAATAAAAGGTCCCAGAAAAAAAACTCTATAAAATTGAAGAGGGTAAAAAACTGTCTTTATGATATTTTTACTTAAAAATTGATAGACATCCATTTATCAGATAAATAAAATGCCAATTATAAGCTACATTATATAAAAAATAATTTCCAAATTAATCAATCAACAGAAGAAATGTGTTTATGTGAAATCAGAATATACTAAGAGTACATATTTATATACAGACCATATTAACTAAAAAGAATCAAAGGCAAAAGCAAGAAAAACTTAACCCTTGGGAAATATTGCCACTCTTACAGAAGAAAAAAAGAAAGCACTGATATGAGAATTTAAAGATGAGAATGAGCAGGAAAATATTCCAGGCAGCAAGATATGCATGTTCACACAATACATCTTCTCATTAATATAGGTTGCCCAAAAAACATGTATACACACTTTAAAAACTGGTAGCTCAATTGATGTTTCTTTCTTTTCTGCCATTCTAAGTTTGAACAAAGAAAATTCATCCTAAAATGCTACTGGAAATTTGAAAACACAGTTGAAATACAAACAACGCCTTTATAATTATTCAAAATATATATACATTTCTGGGGACAGGTGACAAAAAAATTATCCAATGCTGTGGATTCTTTTAAATTTTGAAAATGACTTTATAATCATTCAAAGTGTGTAGACATTTGGGGGGGGCATCCTATATTATCATGAAAATGCATGCTTTCGCCGAAACCGGTTTGGCTCAGTGGTAGAACGTCGGTCTGCGGACTGAAAGGTCCCGGGTTCGATTCCAGTCAAGGGCATGTACATTAGTTGCGGGCACATCCCCGTGGGAGGTGTGCAGGAGGCAGCTGGTCGATGTTTCTCTCTCATCGATATTTCTGGCTCTCTATCTCTCTCCCTTCCTCTCTGTAAAAAAATCAATAAAATGTATATATTTTTTTAAATGCATGCTTTTTATATTTGCCTACAATACACAGGACCAGAAATTCAAAATAGTTTTATTATAATATTAATATTTTTTATTCTGCTAATAGTTCTTTTATAACATTATTTTCATTGATTTCAGAGAGGAAGAGGGGGAGGGGGAGGGGGAGAGAGATAGAAACATCAGTGATAAGAGAGAACCAATCAGCTGCCTCCTGCACAACCTACACAGGGGATCAAGCCTGCAACCCAGGCATGTGCTGTGACATGGAATCAAACTGTTATCTCCTGGTTCATAGGTCAACAATCAACCATGGAGCCAAGCCAGCCAGGCTAGTTTTTAGTTTGTTTTTTAAATAAAGATAAAGAACCTCTTAAGGTTCATCACTCTATAGCTCATACAAAAAATCAAAAATATTTCAATATAATGGAGATTTTATTGTATTGCCAATACTCAACCATTTTCTATTAAATTTAGAATTATTTTTAACATAATCATCAAAAAACTCTAACCAAATTATAGTTATAAACTGAAAGAATGATTTAAGATATTAGAGAATAAAATAAGCAACCTACATATTAAGTTTTTCATACAAAATTATTTTAAAGCCATATTCATGCCTTAAAATTCTCCAGAAGTCTTATATATCTTTACCAGCTACTATCTAGTTTCCCAACAATAAAAATAAATAATAACTCCTTTGTCTTTTTAATCTGAGGAGTTCCTCAAAAACAAACAAAAAATTAACCAAGTCTAACCAATTTTAGTTTTCTATTAATTTTCCATGGCAAGGCATTTACAGCAATTAAATATTTTATTTAGAGGCAATATTCTAAGATTTCCTGTCCTCTCTGAATAGAGCCAATTTGCATTTTATTTTGATTATTTTCTTCAAATGAAGTGATAAGAGGACTAAAAGCTCGGGATAGTCTTAATTTTAGAGTGCGTAATTTGACTTGTTTGCACTTATTCTGAATTTTAAGTTGGGTAAATAGATAATTGCTGTAAAGGTCAAGGGAATAATCCCTTTCACTGGTTAATAAAATTACCAACAGTAGAAACTTCAATACTAAGAATTCTTAACTGGCAATTAGCACAATGATACATCATAGACAATCATCCACATCCAATTTCAACATGACTAGCAGTCCAGTGTCCAAAAAAACCCAAATTGACTCTTGAGAGCAGTTATAGACAAACCCTGTCCAGTGTTGCACAGAATGTTGGCATGCATACCGAAGGGTTACAGGTTCAATTCTGGTCAAGGGCATAGAGCTGGGTTTCAGGTTGAATCCCCAGCCCTAATAGGGGCATGTGCAGGAGGCAACCAATCGATGTGTCTCTCTCACATCAATGTCTCTGTCTCTCTCTGTTCTTTCCTCTCCTCAACTCTTTCTAAAAATCAATGGGAAAAATATCTTCAGTGATGATTAATTTAAAAAGCCAAATCTTCATTTTTCAAGTATCACAAAAACTTAATTACAAATGAAAACAAAAGAGATTATTTCCCAACCCATACTGGAGAACCATATGATCCCATTTGCCTGCCCTTCTGCCTGTCTCTCACAAACATACAAGTATCCATATATTTAAGCATGTATATGTGTGTACATATTCAGACACATACACACACAATATGAGAATAAAGTAGAAAATCTGACTCTATATTGCCTAAATATTTTATAATGCTCTATCAATGTTTATTTCTCTTCCCATTTCTAATTTTCCCAACCTAATCTTGAGAAACAGAAACTTACCAATATCACTGGCAAATTCGTAGACATGGGGTTTTTGCAGCAGCCCTAACTGGCACATACAGGTAAGGGCATTAAGAGCTTTCACAATAACAAATTCCTCAGCATCACTAAGACCTTGCTGCAGCAGGGGCTTGAGAATTGAGGAGCTCTGCCAGCCAACATAGGCAGCAACACCTGAAAAAGAGAAGCAACATTACATGATTACATACTCTATACCTGGAAGTACAAATGGCACTACGTAAAACAATAAAATTAATTGAAAACCAAATATATGAAGCAACAATCAGGGAGACGACATTGCACTTCCTACCCAGCACAATAAATGAAAAGACCCACAACAAAATAAATGACCGAGAAATTCTGGAACACCGAGGCGGGGAGGGGAGGAGATCTTAGGAACTTATGAAAAGAAAAATATAGGTCCCCTAAAAACGAAAGAGAATGATTGGCTTTAGATTATCTTAAGCAACAATAGAGAGGCTAGAATACAACAAAGCAAGCAATTTCACAGCTTCTCTAAAGGTAGGAAGTACCCTTTTCTCCAGAACATTCTACAGCAGCATTTGCAGAAACATTAATACTATTGCCTTATGAGTTTCTTTCCTTTTTTTATTTTTTAGGAAAATACACCCAAAAGTAAATTTTTTAGCAGCTACTTTCTCAGATTATAAGGTAACAAAATCTAAATCCTACAGCTTTCTGCTGCTACATGAGAGTTTGAATGCTTTCAAAAAGTGTAAAAGTGTCTTTAAAACTTTTGAGTTAAACAGTAAGCTGTTACAATCATGTCCAAAATGATATAAAGGGGTTAGTGAATAATTATAATAACATAGCTTTAGCATATAACATTTCACAACTGACCAAATCTAAATTTATTTTCTAATTAGATTTTCAATCATAATTACATTTTAACTATTTTTTTTCTGATTGTAAAAGTTATGTATGTTTACTATTAAAAAAATTGACAAATATAAAAAATATAAAGAAAACAATCACGTAAACATGGCAGACGACGTGGACCAGCAACAAACTACCAACACTGTCAAAAAACCCCTCGATCTTATCAGGCTCAGCCTGGATCAGCGAATTTATGTGAAAATGAGAAATGACAGAGAGCTTCGAGGTAGATTACATGCTTATGATCAACATTTAAATATGATATTGGGAGATGTGGAAGAAACCTGACTACTGTAGAAACTGATGAGGAAACATATGAAGAGATATATAAATCAACAAAACGGAATATTCCAATGCTTTTTGTCTGGGGAGATGGTGGTGTCCTAGTTGCCCCTCCATTGAGTTGGTTGAAACAAAGAATATATCCTGTGTGGAAATTAGGAGACTTTATATGATTGCGACTTTAAAGGTAGAATATATTCAAAAGAGAAACCTGCGAAAATTTTGATATTAGTAAATGACCAAGGAATTTTCTGCTCCTGAAATGAGTTTATGTGCACATAACACAAATTCTTAAGCTAAATAGCATTTTTATTTTTTTCCAACCCTTCCAATAAATGTGATCCCTAAAATTGCAGCCCTATGTTAAATTATCCATTGTTTTTTCCAGACAATTTCTGATATTCTTAATTTAAATTAAATTTGTTTTTTTTTTGTTTTTTTAAAAGAAAACAATCACCTACAATCCCAGTCCTGTATGTAACCAATATTCACACCTTAGTATATATATTCCAATCTTTTGTATAAAGACACATAATTTATTGTTATCTTTATACAACTAGAATCATACTTTAAAAAGACCTACACTATAATTCAGTCACTTTAATAATATTTTATGATACTTTCCCAGGGCATTAAATATCATTTTAAAACAGTTTGTAATGACCATATGGTATTCCTTGATATGGATGTATCACAGTTTAATTAACTCATCCCTTGATCAACTAAGATATTCTTTTTTTTTTTTTTTTTTCTTTCTTTTTTATTTTATTTATTTTTTTTAAATAAGTTTTTATTGTTCATATTATTACAACTGTTCCTCCCCCCCCCCCATTGCTCTCCTCCACCAGGTTCCCACCCCACCCTCTGCCCTTTCCCCACTCCCCATTGTCCTCATCCATAGGTGCACAGTTTATGTTCAGTCTCTTCCCACATCCCCCTCTCCCCTTTTCCCCAAGAATTGTCAGTTCACTCCCCTTGCATACCTCTGATTCTATTATATTCAACAGTTACTATTGTTCATCAGATTTTTTTTAAATTTCCTTGGTTTTTAGATTCACTTGTTGATAGTTACGTATTTGTTGTTCATAATTTTTATCTTTGTTTACTTTCTCTTCTGAAAGAACTCCCTTCAGCAACTCATATAAGTCTGGTTTGGTGTTGATGAACTCCTTTAGCTTTTTTTTATTAGTGAAGCTCTTTATCTGACCTTCGATTCTGAGTGATAGCTTTGCTGGATAGATTATCTTTGGCTGTAGGTTCTTACTATTCATCACCTTGAATATTTCTTGCCATTCCCGTCTGGCCTGCATGGTTTCTGTTGAGAAGTCAGCTGACAATCGTATAGGTGATCCTTTATAGGTAACTACCTTCTTTGCTCTTGCTTCTTTTAATATTCTCTCTTTGTCTTTTGCTCTTGGAATTTTAATTATGATGTGTCTTGCTGTGGTCCTCTTTGGATTCCTTTTGTTTGGAGTTCTGTGCGCTTCTTGGACTTGTAAGTCTAATTCTTTCCCCAGGTGGGGGAAGTTTTCTGTCACTATTTCTTTCAGTATGTTTTCGATATCTTGCTCTCTCTCATCTTCTGGGACCCCCATAATTCTGATGTTGGTTCGCTTGAAGTTGTCCCAGAGGTTTCTTACATTATCTTCAATTTTCTGGATTCTCTTGCCTTCTAGCTTCTGTGGAGGAGTGTCTTCTGGCTCTTTATGTTCCAAATCTTTGACTTGATTCTTGCGATCTTCCCTTCTGTTTTTAGGACTCTGTAAAATATTTTTTATTTCAGACAATGTATTCTTTATTTCTTGTTGTTCCCTTATCATTTCTTGATGACTCCTTATTAATTCTAGTTGATTTCTTTTCATGTCCTCATAGGTCTTATCCATCTTTTCTAGGAAATTCTTGAAAAACCTTATAAGCGTAGATTTGAACTCTATGTCCAGTCGCTTTTTGTCCTCCATTTCTTTCGTTTGTGATCTATTTGGTTTAGGCATTTCGCAGGCAGCTTTCCTGATGGGGCGGGGTTTCAGGGTGGAGCCTACAGCTTTGGCTTCCGTCAGCCCCGCCCTATGCGACTCCTGAGACTCAGGGTCCTACTTGTTGTAAGCGCCTCTGAGAGAAAGGCGCCCTCGATTTTCGCCTGCTGCCAAACAGTCAATGCTCTCCCCCACTGAACTGGGGTTCAGTTCAGTTGGAGGTGGAGTTGGAGGTGGCGTTCAGAGCAGTCTGGAGCCCCTGTCTCCTTCTCACCAGGCAATCCCGCGGCACAGCCGGCCGGCCCTTCTCTGCGCGCACTGGGCGCCACCGCCGGGACCTCCTTTCGCAGCTTCCCCAGGTTCCGCCTCGCAGCCCAGCTCCCTCTTGCTGAGCCTGAGTCCCCGGGGTCTGGCCTAGGCCTGGGGTTCAGAGCAGTCGGGGGCCCAGCACAGTCAATTTTATCTCCTTCCCGCCAGGGAACGCCCGCCAGGCACTCCGCCTCCCTGCTCTCCAGCTCCGTCCTCTCTGCACGCCGCGTGTCTCCGTGTCTCCGTACCTTCGGCTTTTCCAGCTCCTCTGCGCTTCCTTCTGGTTTTCTCCTTGCTTCTCGTTGTAGAATTTCCAGTCAGTCAACTTTCCTATAGTTCTGGGTGATGTCCATTTTATATTTTAGTTGTATTTTATTGAAATTGTTGTGTGAGGCTGCAGCTAGGTATTCACCTGGGCGCAGCCATCTTGGAGGACCAACTAAGATATTCTTATCATCCAAAAACAGCAGGCAGACAGAAATACCAGGAACTCAATTCATTATTAATAAAATTTAGTAGTAACGTCACCTTTCAAACTGCATGTTTTGGAGAATTCAAAACCTTAAAGAGAAATTTAAAAAACAACATACCAACTATACTATCAAAAAAAGCTCCACGCAGATGCCAATCATTCTTATCATTCAGGAAAGTAATCATGTGAGACAATAAAACATCATTGGCTTTTTGACGTCCAAAAAATACACAGAGCCGAGTTATTCCATTTTCCATTAAGGTTTGTTTCACGATATTTTCAGGGTCACTTAGCAAAGTGACAACTTTCTGCTGGACCATTTCATGCAAGGCTTGGAGCTCTAAAAAAAAAAAAAAAAAAAAAAGAAGTAGTAAAACTAGAATCTATTATTTTTCCTTATACCAATACACAGTCTCCCTTCTTACTCCTTAGAGAAATGGATTACAGAAGCCACCATAGAAAGTCTATAATCACTACGTTTTTCTACTATTTAGAACTCTGAAGGATAGATGGAAAGCTGAAATATAAAACTGAAGAACATCCTAATAAGCTGGCTTCACAAGCTTGGCTACTATCTCACTAATTAAACAGCTCTACTTATGAGGCTTATGGAGAAAAGTATGGGAAGCACCAGAAAAGAGACCATACTGCTCCAATAAGATCAACTTAATCAAGGCCTTAAAAACACTAGACTGGTTCAGGATATAATCTGATGGTGCAGGACAGGCATTCTTTTTTAATTTTTTAAAAATATATATTTTATTGATTTTTTTCTTTTTACAGAGAGGAAGGGAGAGGGATAGAGTTAAAAACATCAATGAGAGAGAAACATCTATCAGCTGCCTCCTGCACATCTACTGGGGATGTGCCTGCAACCAAGGTACATGCCCTTAACCGGAATCAAACCTGGGACCCTTCTGTCTGCAAGGTGACGCTCTATCCACTGAACCAAACCGGCTAGGGAAAGAGCAAGCATTCTTAAAGGCTGGATTAAATTTCAGAAGCACACCTCAAGTCCTGTCAAGGCTTTGCAGGATCTGGCTACCACTCTGGCCTCATCTCCTATCCACCCTTCCCTTATTTACTTATCTGTTTTCCCCTTACTAAAATGTAAACCCAAGAGCAAGGATCTTGTCTTAGACACCACTGTATCGCTAGTGCTTAAAACTGGCACAAAATTGCCTGATGCAGAGCTATCTTTGACAATTACCTGTTGATTACGAGATTAAGGGCAGAGGCCACTCTATCGCATCCACTGTCAAGAAAAATGGGAGGTCTGTAGAATGTTCACATTAAGAAAAACTTCAGGTTAACTCCCCAAAAGTGCTGACACATAAATTCATTACATAAAAAGATCCAATTACATGGTTATAGACCATTGAACAGTATTATATTCTAGTTCCATGGAAAAAGTGAAGATTTTCTTTCTGATATATTCTTCTGTAAGTTCAAAATTATTTGTCTGGAACTCCATATAATTATGCTGTCTTAAAATTATGCTACTTTCTGCAATAGCCATTGCAGTTATCTGTAACATAAAAATCTGAAAACTGCTGAAACTGGTTTGGCTCAATGGATAGAGCGTCGGCTTGGGGTCTGAAGGGTCCCGGGTTCGATTCCGGTCAAGGGCATGTACCTTGGTTGCAGGCACATCTCCAGTAGGGGGTGTGCAAGAGGCAGCTGATCGATGACTCTCTCTCGTCGATGTTTCTAACTCACTATCTCTCTCCCCTCCTCTCTGTACAAAATCAATAAAATATATTTAAAAAAATTTTTTTAAATAAATAAATAAAATAAATAAATAAATAAAAATAAATAAATAAAAATCTGAAAACTACACTTCTCTAATTTTTCTCAACTAGAAACATCTTAGAACAGACCTAACCATATTGTTTTACTTCTAAATACCTAACTCAATAAACATTAATGACAAGTCTATCCTCACTTTAATAAACCTATCTTTATTAGAAATTGTACGAATGTAAAGAAACTAAGACAGTGGCTCAGTGGTTGAGTATTGATCTATAAACCAGGTATGAACCTGGAAGTTCGATTCCCTACTAGGGCATATGTCCAGAAGGGGGCTCCATCCCCAGTTAGGGGCATGCAGGAGGCAGCCAATCAATGATTCTCTCTCATCATTGATGTTTCTTTCTCTCTCTCCCTCTCAGTTCCTCTTTGAAATCAATAATCAATATGCATATATATATTTAAGTGGCTCTTTAAAAATAAAAAATAAAAAGACCCCTGACCTCAAAGAGTTTATCATATCTGTCCCTTTACAGTAAAATGTGTGGGTTTTAATATGAAAATCATAGATAGTATAAAATAAACACAAGCTTATGATTAAGGATACACAGGATATACTCACATGAGGAGAAAAGGTTTAGATTCTTTAGCTATGATGTTGCCAATGCTTTTTCTTTTATCACATAATTCAGCTAGCTTTATTATTGACACAAATCAATTCTGGCTGAAAAACAACTGAGCTTAGAATCTGCAGCAACAAGCTAATCATTTTCTGGCTAGATAAATATTTTAGAATAGAGAGAACAACCAGAAACCAGGAACCCTTCCTAACTATAGATCTGGTATTTTTCACCTTACATGAAAATTAGAAATGATGATAAGCTCCAAGTTCACATTAGTAATTCATTCTAAGTAATAGGAAATCTGGAACAGAGAATCATATTACCTGTGTCATAATTTCCATTGGGATGTGTAACTTCATCTATTTCTTCACTATTTGGGTCATTTTCCATATTGAGATTTTTTAACTGTACTAATTCCAGGAATCTCAAAGCTGTTTCTGCCAGCAGAGCTATGTTTTCTATAAAAGGAAGAAAAATTATAATTATCTTCTTAAATCTCTGTAATGTTTATAACTTTTCCTCCCTAACTCTTTATCTATAAAATAATAATCATAAAACTAAGGAGGAAAAGTAAATTTAGCTTAACAAAATCATATTTTGGTAACTAATTTTATAACCTACAACTATTTCTAAACTATCCTATATAATAAAAGGCTAATATAATAAAAGGCTAATACGCAAACTGACCGAACTGTGGAACAGCCAGTCACTATGACGTGTACTGAACACCAGGGGGCAGGAGGCAGATGCTCAACACAGGAGCTGCCCCTGGTGATCAGTGCACTCCCACAGGGGTGGAGCTGCTCAACCAGAAGCCAGGCTCACAGCTGATGAGCACAGCGACAGTGGTGGGAGCCGCTCTTGCCTCTGCAGCAGCGCTAAGAATGTCTGATGGCTTAGGCCAGCTCCCGGGCTTAAGCGTCATTTGGAAATCCCCCAAGGCTCCTGGACTGCAAGAGGGCGCAGGCCAGGTTGAGGATCCCCACCCCAAGAGCACGAATCTCATGCACCAGGCCTCTACTGTTTTAATATTGAACAATAGGTATCTTTTAAAAAGGCAAAAATAACCCAAAACATAGCACTGAAATCTATTGAGAAAAAAAAAAAATCCTTTTAGAGTGCTACCCTTTAAACAGTATTTTGACATTTGACTAACAAATATTCACATGGGAATAACAGATGAAGCTGGGCTTTGGAATCACACAGACCTTGGCTTAAATCTCTACCCTGCCACTTACGAGGTGGCTGCTTAACCAATCTGAGCTTCAGTTTCTTCACACATAAACGAGTCACCTCTATTTCAAAGAGCCATTACCAAATTGAATCAATCACTGTTGGACCGCTTCACAAGTGATTCTCTTAAGGAACCAAAGTGTGAGACTGTTTGCCACACTTCTGCAGTTGTCTATATTTTCTTCTCTCTCTTTCTGGTAATCTAGTAAAACTAGCTGACACTCCTCACCACTGTGAAAGTATCTACTCGTGAGTTCTGCTGTCATATTTGCTATTAATTATATATCTCCTCTACTGCTTATATCATCTTCCTTCCATTTTTATTACTGTTTCTATCCCTCTTTCCCTACTACTTCTGTGCTTCTTAGCTTAACTCTGTACTCTTCCATCTTTGCAGTAAATAGCACTGAACATAAAGTTTAACTACTTTATTTTGAATCTGACACTCACTTTCTCTTTAATTTTTTACATTTCTAAAACTGAGATGCACCTCATAATATTTGAGATTTTTCAGTCTACTAAATGCAGTGATTCCATACGCCTCTCCCAGGTTCAACATTGTTCTGAATAGAAAAGAAATTTACCTCTAAGTAACCAAGATATTAATACTCTGCAATGCCTGCTCACCCTAAAGATGGAGAAATTTATAATAAATTCTAGATGAATATCCCCACTTCAATTAACACATCTTTATTAGGAAAAGTCTCTTATTTTTCTGAACCTCTAAAGTCTAAGTTATGCTTATTTCCCCATTGAAGTTTATAAACCACAATGTAGTATTTGAAAGTTGACATAAGTTGATATAAGATATACCAACATCTCTGAGCTAAAAAAGAATGTAAAAGAAATTTACAAATTTTAAACTTTTCATTACTAACATGTGTAGTTTAATTATACTTAACCATACAAGTTCAAACAGACCTCTGGTTCTACTAAAAAAGGTAGCTTTATCATACACTAAGGCGCCATCGTGAAGGAACACTGCAAGGTACTGGCATTGTCCCTGGGTTATCATGGACTCCCATCATAAAAACCCAAAAGACCAAAGAAAAACAGATTGCTTCAAAATCAATGTCTAGACCAGTAACTCTGAGAACCGAGAAAGAATTAGACCAGAAATATCGGCTCATGTTTTTTAGACTCTCTCATTTCCAATTTCCCCACTGGTAGAATGAAGGAATATTAACAGTCACTGCTCAAGGTTTTTGCAAGGGGTAGTTGTGAAAGACATACAGATCTTAGAATCTTAAAATCTAGACTTTATCTTAGAATCTAAAATCTACCTTAGAATCTATATATCTCTTTCAACTAACCCTTGCAACAAGTCTGAACAGTAGATACCCTGACACACAGCAGGTTTTTTCAATAAATAGCATTATTTTTATGCTATGACTATTAGTAATTGACTGTTAATGTGTTAATATGACACCTACACATCAAAACCTTATCTATTTGACACAATTAAAGAACAGACTAAGATCCCCTGGGTCAGTGGTCACAAACTCATTAGTCAACAGAGCCAAATATCAACAGTACAACGATTGAAATTTTTTTTGAGAGCCAAATTTTTTAAACTTAAACTTCTTCTAATGCCACTTCTTCAAAATAGACTCGCCCAGGCCGTGATATTTTGTGGAAGAGCCACACTCAAGGGGCCAAAGAGCCACATGTGGCTCCTGAGCCACAATCTGCCTACCACAGCCCTGGGTCAAAAGTAGGACATGAAACCCTAAAGATACAGCTTGTTTTTAAAACCTAAAAACTGTTATTTATTTTTATCTGGCTCAATTGTTTATATTTACCAAGTGAATCAGAAATATGCTTTGTTACAAATGATAAACTCAGATATATCTTAAAGAAATCCTTCATTTTCTAGCCCTGAAACTTATACAGTTATGGAAACCAGAAACCATACATAAGTAAATAGGCTGATAGATAAATAAATAAAAATATATATATATTAAAAAAAAAAAAAGAAACCCAACAACCACCAATCACTTTTTGGATGTGCCTAGTATATAAGGCCAGCATCCAAAGACTATTTTTCACATGTTCCATTAAAACACTAATAGGCGCCCTGGCTGGGTGGCTTAATTGGTTGGAGCACTTTTCCATACACCAAAAGGTGGGGGGTTTAATCCCCAGACAGGGTAAGGGTGGCAACCTAGGATGTTTTCTCTCCCTCACCCCCCATTCCTCTCTCTAAAAATAAAGAAACATACTCTCAGGTTAGGATTAAAAACATCTGTAAGATGTTTTCTAAGCAAGCATCTTACAGCAAAGTGATAATATTATCACCACATGCTTCGTACTTCAAAAAAGAATTCCTGATTTCCATTTAGATTACATTTTAGAAGTAAATTATGGAATTATGTACATGTTTCAATGGCATTTCCATGCAGTAACAAGCATTCAGAATTTAGGGAGCTAAAAACATGAATCTGTATCACTTGATTTTATGAGAATTACAAGTAAACATACAGGTGTAACACACTTCACCACAAAGAAGCCATACATCCTAAGCACTATAGTAACTGAAAAGATCTTAAATTCAGTAAGTAAGGCTAGATTTTTTTCAACACCAAAGTACCCAGCAAAATCTTTTCAACAATAAATCACTGCATATCCTAAAATTGATATTCAAACAGCTTATTTGTTCAGAGAAACTTTATAAAGGCCTAAAGACATACCCCAGAAGCACGTATTTGTAAACATTAGTCTCCCTTCAAAGTAAATATAATACTCCCAGTAAAAGCACAAGATTCGGTATTACATACTTTTTACTAGCTAATTCTGATCATTTCACACAAAAGTTGAATCCCAGTTACAGATTAGCTATAAATATTACTATAATGTACACAAATAGTTCAGGGACTGAAGGTCATTCTCATAATTCCCAAAGAAATCAGAAAAACAAGAGGTATTAGTCACTAACTTTATAAATATGAGTAGCGATTACTTAGACAATAATCTCTTACCAGCATAGGCTAGTCTGACAATAGTAGCATCATCTTGGGCCAAGTGGGCTATGCCCGGCAGAATGTATTCCGGATAGATATTGACATCATTGCGAGGAACCTCTTTGACAAGAGCTAGAACTTTAGTCAATGTCCTCAAAGCTTCAGCCCTCACTCTAGGAACAGAGTCATTGCTGAAATGCAAAAGATATGGAGTAATGCGATCCAAAAGAATTTCTACACTTAATCGTGGAGCCAAATGGAGAATAAGTTCCAAAGCAGCAAGTTTGGAGTCACAGTATTTAAGAGTCTGTAGACAGGAGGTTATAACGGACACCAAGATGACCAGCCCATTTTCCTTAGGCTCTCCTTCAGCTTTTTCCGGCAGATCATGTCCACAGAGATTGTGAATAATGTTGCCCAAATCCTTCCGTATGACCAGAATACGCTCATCTGCAGAAAGAAATGTTTCCTTGGCAAACTGGGCCATGTAGGGCTGAAGGAAAGTGTAAAATATTTCAGGAAAGGCATTGCCACGCTGCTGCTTTAAGTAATCTTCTGCCTCTAACCGTTTATCTGGTTCACGGTGAATCATCTGAGTCACCTATCCAAGGGGGGAAAGAGAGTAAAAAATAGATTTGAGAATAGCAAATTAAGTTAGAGAAAAGCTACAAGGGCATCTTAACCATGATTTAAAGGATTTGTGAAGTAATTCTGACTCTTCTCAATCTTTTCCATTCAAATTACTTTCAGAACCTAACAAGTAATATGTGACTCTACTACTGTCCTAAAAAGCAACAAGAAATTACATACTAACATATTACAAATGACTCAGACACATAAAGAGAAGATGAATTCTGTTCAACATTCCCCATTTATTAAGACAGAAGAGTAATATACTGCTGCCCACAACTCAAGGATTCTTAAAACTTTTTCTGAGCAAGTAATGTCACTGAGAATCCGAGAAAGCAATGGGATTTTCTTCAGAGAAAAAGATATACACACAAATTTTGCATACAAAATTACACACAATTCTGAAAAGAATTACAGGTCCCCTAAAACCTATTTATATACCATAGTTCTGGTTTAGAGACTTATTCTCAGAAGCTTAAGGAAATACCTAATTTAAGTGTAGCACTAGGATCTGTTCACAAAGGGAGTCAGTGGTTTAAACTTTTCAAGTAGTGTAAAAGAAGTGTTAAATCCTGCTAACACTAAAAATAATAAACCTTATTTGAATTTATCTTACGTTTTCTAGCATCATAAGAACATTTTTTTTCAATATACAGAGCACAGTTTAATCTGTCCTAGACCATTACACTGAATTAGCCATTATTCAAATATTCGAAATATCATATACACATATTTAGTTATTTGAGCTTTCTGTTTAAGAGCCTCATATTGAACTTGGGGGGATCAAATATACTATAAATAAGGAAAAATGATCTAATAGAATTACTTTGACATTTAGGTTAAGCTTTAAAGATTAAACAATTCACTCCTTTCACACTTAAGAAAATGTAGGCCAAAATTCATGCCAGTGTAACGTGATGAATGAATGCCACATCCAAAGACATACTAGCCAAATATACCAAAACTCCTAATCCAGCTGAGCTAAACATGAGCAAAATTAGTTTCCTTCATCTAAAGCATATTTTTTTTTAGTATTTGCTATTTGTAAGAAAAATTAAAATATATAGTTCCCTACCTTAATAAAGGATATTTTAAATACACCATATCCTTTCCATGACTCAGTCATCATAAGCATCAGTTCCTATACTGACTGACTGACTTTAAAAAGATCCCCTCAAACAGTAATATGGATATACGGCTTATATGACCTCCCACAGAATCCCTCATATCTGTTCTGCTATACTAATTTGTGATTCTACATCTTCCCTTCCAGAACTGCCCTCAGTATCAAGGGTAGTATATACAAAATTAGTAGCTTCCATATTGAAATGGCCTTATACTGCTGCATTATATTCAAGTTGATGTTTCCTGTCTTATCTTACTATCTAGCAAGCTCTGGCCTGGACAACTTCTCTAACCCCCAGGAGGCACCGCCTTACCTCCACCTAAATCCATCCAAAGCAAAGCTAAAGATTATAACGGGAAGAGGTATCTGTGTGAGTTTCAGTGCACATATAAAAAAATAAGTCAAGCTCTGACCAGTTTGGCTCAGTAGATAGAGTGTAGTAGGCCTGCGGACTCAAGGGTCCCAGGTTCAATTCTGGTCAAGGGCATGTACCTTGGTTTCAGGTACATCCCCTATAGGGGATGTGCAAGAGGCAACTGATCCATGTTTCTCTCTCATGGATGTTTCTAACTCTCTATTCCTCTCCTTTCCTTTCTGTAAAAAAAAAAAAAAAAAATCAATAAAATATATATATATTTTTAAAATCAGTCAAAGGAGCTGTGTCTGGGAAAGAGGGTGAGGCAATTGTACATTCCTCCCTAATAAAGTAAAAACCATGAGGTAATTATATTACTCTATAGGGCTTTATTGCTTTGTTCCAAATTTATAACATTTTAGAGAATGGATTAATGCAAAAGAACACAATTCGATTAAATTCTTTATGGCCAAATATTTGTAGCATAGTTACCAAATCTCTGATACTTCGATCTTCAATTTTATTTAGTACTTGTTCAGGGAAAAACTGTCCATTTCTATAAGCCAAAAGTTGAGAGAGATCAAATAATGGTACACCTTCTGTAAAAAGTTCAGCTATCACACAACCTGGAAAATAGCAGATATAATTCCATTAAAAATGAAATGCAAGAAATCATTAATATAGATCAAGAATTCAGAGAATTCATAAAACTAAAAATGTGAAACCAAGTAAACTGAATTATAAATTTTAATGCAATATACAACAATTAATCAAGATAGGGAAAATGTCTATTGCCTAATCAATTTCAAAATGCGTAACATCAAAAAGGCCCATTATATTTTTGCCCCCCTTTAAAAAAAATTTAAATAAAATTACTTTCTAGTTCTATAATTTTAAATGAATGGGCACATATAATGTACACAGCATATATTTAGAAATAGATAAGAGTAAAAGCTACAAGAAATACACTGGGGTCTTTTTAAGTATGGATTTATAAAAATTAAATTCAAAAGGAATTACTGAGGAATCATAGTTTATTTATTCATTGAACTAAAATTAGGTATCTACCATACCTTAGGCTCCCAGAGTACATGAAACAGATAAAATCCCTGCCCTCATAAAGCTTTCATTATAGGAAGGAAGACATAAAATAAACCAGTGAACAAAAACAATTATAAAATGAGAAGTGTGGCTGTTAGAAAGAAGAGATAACCCAATCATATTGCATTTATGTAATCTTCTATAGGGAATTAAAAAAAAAACTATCCACATTTCAAAAAGGACAAGCAGTTTCACTGAATCACTGTATAACACACATTTAACAATTCTTTTTTAAATTACTGATTTCAGAGAGGAAGGGAGAGAGAGAGAAACATTAGTGATGAGAATTATTGATCGTCTGCCTCCTGCAGGCCCTCTACTGAGAAAAGAGCCTGCACATTTAACAATTCTTAAAGAGATCCTTACATAGCATTAGCGCACAGCCTTTGCATTTGCGGTCTTTCTGCCTAAAATTCCTCAAGTGATATACACATGGTTTATCCCTCTACCTCCTTCAGATCTTTAATTACATATCACTTAAGCAGTGAGGCCTTCCTTGACTGTCCAGTTTAGGCCACAACTACAACTACCTCACACTCCACATCTGGCACATTCCTTTCCCTGCTGTTTATCCCACAGCATCAATTGCCAAGTTATATATTTAATGTATTCATTTCTTTAGTGTCTACATGCCCACTAGAAAGCAAACTCCATGAGGAAGGGATTTTTGTCTATTCTGTTCATTGAAAAATCCCCAGCAATTAAGACAATTCCTAAGACATAATAAACACTCAAAACATTTCATTAATTTCTACCTATATAGTGTCAAGTTTTAGACTAAAAGGCTTAAAAATAGCTATTACAAATGTCATAACCAAGAAGAAAATAGAATTGAACAACACTATGAACCAACTGGATCTAACAGAAATCAAAGGAACACTCCACCCAACAAAAGAATACAAAATTCTTCTCAAGTACAAATGAGACACTCTCCAAGTTGGACTGTATGCTAGGTCATAAAAGGCGGCTCCATAAGTTTAAAAGAACTCCAGTCACACAAATTATGTTCTTCAAATCACAACAGAACAAAATAAGAAATTAGGAACAGGAAAATTTTTTAAAAATTCAAATATTAAGAAGTAATCATATTCCTAAAAAAATCAATGGATCAAAGGGAAATTAAGAAATACTTTAAGAGGAATGAAAACAAAAGCACAACATACAATAACACATATGATGCAATGTTCTGAGGAAATTGTATCTATAAACACCTTAAAAAACAAGAAGACAGTAAACTCAAACCAAAGTAAACGGAAGGAAAGCAATAACAAGATTAGGGAGGAAAAGGGACATTACTACCAACTGTACAGAATCAAAAGAATTATGAGAGTACTTTGAATAACTATATGCCACCAATTCTAGGTGAAATGGACAGATTTATAAGAATAGATTACCAAAACTGCCCTAAAAAGAAATAGAAAATCTGAATAAGCATTTTAAGAGATTGAATTAGTTACCTATAAAAATTTCCCACAAAGAAAAGCCTACACAAAATGGCTTACCAGGTGAATTCCATCACTTTGAAGGAATTAGCATGCACCCTTCACAAATTCTCTCAAGAAATGGAAGAGGAGGAACACCTCCCAACTTATTCTACCCTGTTTCCCCAAAAATAAGACAGTGTCTTATATTAATTTTTGCTCCCAAAGATGCGCTAGGTATTTTCAGGGGATGTCTTATTTTTCCATGAAGAATAAGGCACACATTGATTGTTAAATGAAAATAAAGGAAATTTATTACCTCTATACGGTACGGTAGTACAGTAGTTGTCAACACAAACCAGACAAACTGTGAATCCTACAGTATCAAGAATTTACTCATTTTTTCAATGACAATCATGTCATCATCTTCTGGAACATCATCATAACAATTCAATTTCTGAATTTCCTGGTGAATTTCTTGTGACTCCATTTCTTTCAGAATAAGTGGACCAAATCTCTCATGTTTAGCCTAGGGGGCCTTATTTTCGGGGGGATGCCTTATATTTCACTCAGAAGGAAACCTGTAAGTAGGTCTTATTTTCAGAGGATGTCTTATTTTCGAGGAAATACGGTATGATGCCAATACCAAGCCAGATAAAGATACTCTTATACCAAGCCAGATAAAGACATCACAACAAAAGGGAAATTGGGGGTAAGGGAGGAAGGAGAGAGGGAGGGAGTGGAGAAAAGGGAGGGAGAGAAAGAGGATAGGGAGGGAGAGAGAGAGGATCGAGAGGGAGAGAGAGAGGATAGAAAGGGAGTGGAAGAGGGAGTGGAGAGGGAGGGAAGGGGAAAGAGAGGGAGGGAACAGAGCGGGAGGGAGGGGAGATATCACCAATATCTCTGATGAATATAGATTTTTAAATCCCTCCAAAACTGAGTGTAGGAGTTCCTACGTATATAAAATAAATGAGGGTTAAGAGGACACCTGAGTATAATAGAATGCTGAGGGCCTATTGATCAATGTGGAAAAGTGCTGGATCTGGAAAAGCATCATTTAAAAATCATCACAATAAAGATTGCATCAAGCAAGAATCATCAATGGATGCCAAATCAAGGAGAAAATTGTGACAAACCAGTCTTGAAGTTTCTTCTCACAGATTATTAGTTGCAAGAGATTTAAAAATTAACTATGAAGGGGAGAAATTGGGCAATATGTTGAACATCAGACACCATTTGACTGCAAAGGTGATACCATAAAGACATATCATCATCTATGTACTATTCTTACCAAAAATGAATAACCTGATTCTAATCTCAAGGAAACAGCAGACAAACCCAAAATGAAGAATATCCTATTAAGAAACATGTACACACAAAAGTATATGTTAAACTGGTAAAAATTGAATAAAGTCTATCTATAATCTAGTTAACAGTAATGCAACAATGTCCAGTCCTGGTTTTGACATTGTACTAGTCATGTAAGATGTCACCACTGGAGGAAGCTAGGGAAAGGGTTCTTCACAATTTATGCAATTTCCTTTGAGTCTATCATTTAAAAATAAAAAATATAAAAACAATTGTTAAAAACTTAAGGGAAAAAGTATTCTTCATAAAATGTCAATGCCATAATGACAATGTGGAAATGTTACAGATTAAAGGAGGCTAAAGAGACATGACAACTAAATGCAATACCTGACCCTAGACTGGGTTCGGTCCTGGCGCATTTTCTCTATCCACTCATCAACTGATGGACAACTAGGTTGTTTCCATATCATGGCTATTGTAAGTAATACTGCAATAAGCATGTGGGTGCAGACATTTTTTCAAGATAGTGATTTTGGCCCTAGCCGGTTTTGCTCAGTGGATAGAGGGTTAACCTGTGAACTGAAGGGACAAGGTTCGATTCTGGTTAAGGGCACATGCCCAATTTGCGGGCCTCAATCCCCAGTGAGGGGGCATGCAGGAGGCAATCGATCAATGAATCTCTCTCATGGTTGATGTTTCTCTCTCTCTCTCCCACTCGCTTTCCCTCCTCTCTGAAATCAATAATCATGTATAAAGTTTTTTTAAAAATACAGTCTCCTGTGTAGCTCCCCTATAACCCATTCTCCATGCTACCTGTAGTCGGTGTCTTGTCTAAAACATGTATCTGAGAAACCAAAGAAGAACTTATACACTTGGTCTGGAGGGAGAGATAGGGGCTGGGGAAACCTGGGTATGGAAGGGGGAATGGGGGACATCTGTAATATTGTCAACAATAAAAACGAAATGTTTAGCCAAAACCGGTTTGGCTCAGTGGATAGAGCATCGGCCTGCGGACTGAGGGGTCCCAGGTTCGATTCCGGTCAAGGGCATGTACCTTGGTTGCGGGCACATCCCCAGTGGATGTGCAAGAGGCAGCTAATCGATGATTCTCTCTCATTGATGTTTTTAACTCTCTATCCCTCTCTCTTCCTCTCTGTAAAAAATCAATAAAATATATTTTTTTTTATAAATGAATGTTTATTTAAAAAAAAAAAACACTTATCTGGCAATGTCTCTGAAGACTAACATGGCCATACAAGATCCTTTCTGATCTGGGCCTTGCTTACCTCACACTCTTTGTTCCCGATATTCTATATCACTTAAAGTGCCCCAATAAATGAGTGCTTCAAGTCTTTGTACAAGAAACACTCTGCCTGAAAGAGACTCCCCTTGCCATAACTAGCTCCCAATCATCTTTCAGGTCTGTTTACAAGTCATCCTTCCAATAAAGAGGCCCTTCTTGATCCTGCCTCTCTACCCATCACCACTATGGAAACTAATTTAAGTATCTACATGTTCCTATAACAGCACCCTATGCTTATTACCACCTCACAAGCCACATTACACTAAAATTTCCTTTTTCAATCATATCTTCTCATTAAAGTATAAGCACCGTGAAAAAAAGGAACAGAATTACTCATCTATGTCTCTAAAGCTTAAGACACTGCCTGACACGAATGCAAGAATTCAAATATTTCTTAAATGTTTGAATGAACTGCTCTTGAATTTTCTAGGCACTTAAACATGTCCAATAAAAGAACACTAATAAAGTGTATGAAGACAAATAAATGTTCACCATATAATTTTTAAAGCTACATTTCTATATTCAAGTTAAATTATATGCACACCCCCCCTCCTTAGCAAATTTAGCCAACTCAAATACCTGCTGAAAAGATGTCCATTGCTCGCTTCAACTCTCCTCTTGTTCTCTGATTGCTATTTAAGTCTACAAGTGGGGTTGAAGGATCTCTCATATATTCTAACTCAGTGGCAAACAACCCACCATCAACAAAACGCTCAGGAGCGATATAACAAGTTCTCCTCCGTGAGGTGTCAAAGAAATAATTGAAATCTGCTGGGTTGTCTTCTGGAAGGTAAGTGGGTTTAAAACTGGCAAAATCAGTTAAGAGGACCCAGTTCCAACTGGTGACCATTACGTTCTCAGTCTTGATGTCCCCATGGCGGACTCCAGATTTGTGTGCCTGGTCCACAGCGGTCAGGATCTGGAAAGCAATCCAACGTTTCTCAATGTTATTTAAGAATGGGCGGGTACTTATGCGATCATAGAGATTGTCTCGCACATATTGCCTGAAGAGCATGGCTGCTTTCTCAGATGCTTTCTCGGCTGCCTTCTGGAAAGGTAGACAGTTTTGTGCAGAGTGAAGCCTGATTTTCAGTTCTTCCAGCTCCTGTTTGTAGCTGGTTAAAGGCAATGTGGGATCCTGAATGGCAAAGACCTTCACAACCACCAGGCCTTCTCGGTGCTTCGCTCTAGCAACTTTAAAGAAACGCGTGCTCCCCAGGCTCTTATCATATTCAAAGTCATGGATATCTGAGAAATAACTCTCCACGGAAAGGATCTGGGAAGGAGCAATGCCCGCAAGCTGATTTCCCATAATGGCAGCAAGTGCCTCCGGGTCAGTAAGTTAGGAAACACCACCTGTTAAAAAAAAAGAGAGAGAAAAGAAGAAGAGGGAAAAAGAAACAAGCAATGAAACACCATTCTTTATTTGGTCTCCTCCCAAAAGATAGATGTACCATATTTCTCTTCCATTGAGATCATTGTACCTATCCTTCCAGGCAGCCTCTAAATTTCACACACATTTATCTTTAAAAAATCTTGTTATTTTATGTTGTCCCTTTCCAGGAGCTGGGTTGTATTTAAATAGGCCCCTTCAATATTAAGTTGAAGATGTTAAAATTTGTATTTTCTAACTTTTAAAATGGCTAAACCTTTACTATATGTTCAGTATTGTACTGAAGGCTGTGAGAATGGCAAGACATTGTTCAAGAAGAACTTGTAGAATTAAACATAAGACAAAAACACATTATAAACTGGTTTGAGTGCGGTCCTAGGAACCAGGTCAAGGTTGGATTCCCTCTCAGGGCACATGCCCGGGCTGTGTGGGCTCGATTCCCAGTAGGGGGCGTGCAAGAGGCAGTCGATCAATGATTCTCATCATTTGTTTCTCTCCCTCTCCCATCCCCTCTGAAATCAATTAAAAATATATATTTAAAAAAAAAAAGGTTTAAAACTAAGAACCGCTTAACACAAATCACTGAACTTTTCAAAGGCTAAGCTAACATCCAAAACAAAAGTAACTCCTGGGCCTTTCCAGCCTGATTCCAGGGTGCTTTCCCACCCAGCTACTAGAAGGCACAAAGTTGTCTGACTTGCAACAGCCAAAGGGAAGAAACCCTGGCAAAGATGTTTAAAAAGTAAACCAAAATACACAATCGCCAAACACAGCCCAGGGTTTTCTCCTAGCTCAGATTTTGCAGGAAATAAAAAGAGGACACACACGAGGCCATACGCACATATAAACATTTACCCTAGACTCCGGAAAAGTGTCCCAGGTCGGTCATTTAGCTCACACTAAGGTCATGGTAGGTCACTTCAGGGTCTGGGCGAGGAAGGGAGTCAGCAGCCTAAGTCAGTCGCCACTATGAAGGGGGTCTCCCTTCAAAGGCAAGAAGTGGGATGCTGGGGAGGGACGCAGAAAAGTCCCAATCTCCAGGAAGCCCAGCTGTCCGCCCGGGAGAACTGGGGAAGCTTTCGGGGGCGAAGCAGACCGAAGAAGCCAGGCGGACGCAATTGCACGGATACCCAGGGAGCTGCCCCCGCGGGCCCCCTCCGCTGCCCTCAGGGCCACGCGTGGTCGGGCCTCGCCTTCCTCACGCGCGGACTCCTGGACTCTCGAGGTCCTCTGCACCCCTCCGGGTCCTCGGCACCGAAGGGAAGGTGGCACTCGGGAGCCGGAGGGAGACCGCCGGCTCCAGGGAAACACTGGCTCGGCGGCTGCACTCACAACAAACGCCGAACTCCCGGGAAAGCCGCCGGCTATGACTTCACTTCCTGCCGCGGAGCGGAAGTTACGGAGTGAGGCACGAGGCAGAGCGACCTAAGGGCGCTGGTTGCTAGGAGACGGGGAAGGGGCGTGGCCTAGCTCCGTGAGTCCAGAGAGGAAGAAAATGCTTTGACAACATCTACCCTTTCCCATCTTTCTTTAAACTCTGGGGCTTCTGAAATCCCCCAGACCTTGTTCAGACACCCCTTCACCTCAAGTACACAAGTTATTTAAGAGAATTCACAGGCTTATTTAGGGAAGTTCATATAATGTATATATTACTTAACAGTTGATCAGTTTCAAATACAAACATCCATTTATACATATGTAAATATGTATACTTACAAGTACATTTACCAGAGTTGCCCAATCATCCCTATAATCTAATTTTGGAACATTTCTTAACCCTTAAAAATGAAACCCTGTAATATTAGCAGTCCCTCCCTATTCTCTCCATTCCTCCCCCCAATCCCCTGCCAGCCCTAGGCGATCATTAATCTACTTTGTTTCCATGGACTCGCCTATTACAGATATTTCATATATATGGTATACATCTGCGCGCTCTCTCACTTTTTTTTTTTTCAATATGTGGTCTTTGTGACTGATATCTTTCACTTCACTTTTTTTTTAGGATTACCTCTGTTGTAGATTGTATCAGTACTTCATTTCTTTTCATTGCCAAATATTCTATTCCACATTTATTATCCATTTATTAGTTGTTGGATGTTTGGGCTGTTTCTACTTTTTGGTTATTATGAATAATGCTGCTTTAAACATTTATGTATAAGGCTTTTTGAGGCCATATGTTTTCCTTTCCCTTGGGTAAACAGTTGGAAGTAGAATTGTAAAGTCCTCTGGTATTTCTATGTTTAACATATTGAAAAGCTGCACAATTGTTTTTTGTTTTTTGTTTTTTCAGAATGCTGCACCATTTTACATTCCTACCAGCAATGGATGAGGGTCCCAGTTTCTCCATATCTTGGCTAACACTTCTTTAGCCTTACAGCCAACCTAGTAGGCATGAAATAACATCTCATTCTAGTTTTTATTTGCATTTCCCTAATGACAAAAAATGTTGGGTATCTTCTTAAGTGCTTATTGACCATTAATATATCTTCCTTGGAGAAAGTCTATTCAAATATTTTGCCCATTTTTAAATCAGTTATTTGTATTTTTATTATTGAGTTTTAAAAATTCTTTATTCTAGATACAAGTCCCTTATCAGATTTACAAATAGTTTTTCTCTGTGTTGTATTTTCACTTTCTTTTGGTGTCCTTCAAATCGCAAGATGTTTTAATTCAAAGCTGAACTTTTAAAATCATCCCTGTAACAACTCCTCCTCTCTTCCTCCACATCTCTTGTGTAGACCGTACTACTTACTACCCACTGGATTCCCCAAATTACAAATGTGGGAGTCATTAAGTCATCTTCGATATCTTTCTGCTTTCTCCCTCTTTCACCTGTCCCCATTCAATAAACACCTGCTCCTGTGCTGGTTCCATCTTCAAAACATGCCTTAAAGCCACCCACTGCTCTCTTCTCAGAGCCTGGGTAAGTCACCACCATTGTGAAGATGTCTAGATTTTGAAACCTACTCAGAAAAGGCAGCATCATCCCATATACCGAGGGTCTCAGGTTTGATTCCAAGCTGGACACACACCTGGGTTTAGAGTTCAATCCCCAGCAGGAGTTCCTGCAGGAAACAACAGATCGATGCTTTCTCACACATCAGTTTCTTTCTCACTCGTTCTCTCTCCCTAGCCCTCTCTAAAAATCAATACCGTGTTTCCCCGAAAATAAAACATTCTCCGAAAATAAGACCTACTTACAGGTTTCCTTCTGAGTGAAATATAAGTTCCTAAAAATAAGTCCCCTTTCCCCCCCAAGACTCTGTCTCAGAATGCTATTGCTAAACATGAGAGATTTGGTCCACTGATTCTGGAAGAAATAGAGTCACAAGAAATTCACCAGGAGATTCAGGATTTGGATTGTTATGATGATGTTCCAGAAGATGATGACATGATTGTCATTGAAAAAATGAGTAAATTCTTGATACTGTAGGATTCACAGTTTGTCTGGTTTGTGTTGATAATTACCATACTACCGTACCGTATACAGGTAATAAATTTCCTTTATTTTCATTTAACAATGAATGTGTACCTTATTCTTCTTCATGGAAAAATAAGACATCCCTGAAAATAAGACCTAGCTCATCTTTGGAAGCAAAAATTAATATAAGACACTGTCTTATTTTCGGGGAAACAGGGTAGCATGTCCTCAGGTGAGAATTTAAAAAAAAAAATTTTTGTCTTTTTATTTTTTTAAAATGTGACTATTAGATCAGTATAAATTACATGTATGGTTCATGCTATATTTTTATTAAAGAGCAATGCTTTAGACTTAACTTCCATCTTATCCTATGTAATAAAAGGGTAAAATGCAAATTAACCCTCACTCTGTCACAAAGACGGTGGTGCCCATACACACGCAAGATGGTGCCCAGTTCCCTCAGCCTCACTGGAGTCCCACAATCCTGGGAAGGGCTGCCATGTGAGAGGCCTGGAGGAATGCTTGCTTCTTTGCTATGGTGATGCCAGGCTGCAGAGGGCCTCTGGGGGACAAGGGGACCAGCCTGCAGCCTCCGCAGCCGAGTGCAGGCGGGGAGAGGAGACGGTGGGCCCGCCACCCGCAGAAGCAGCGTGGCTGCCTCCCGTGGAATCGACGTGGGTCCCTCCCAGCTCCCATGGGATCAGCATGTGATAATGTGCAATGGGCTTCTAGTAAAAAATAAAATGATAGAGGAAGAATTGAAGCAATACCATCAGGAAACAATGTGGCAAATTCAGAAAATGGAACCTTAGCCTGGATTCCTCAAATTCAATATCATAAAAAACATGGAGAGACATTATAGAATAACTCCAAAGAGACATAAAAATTCAAAAATAATGTGCAAACTTCAACCTGATCCGGGATTACACACAGCTATAAAAGGCATTTCATGCATAATTGGGGAAATTTGTATAAAGACTAAATATTTCAGAGAGAAAGAAATGGCAAACAAAAGTTTTTTAAATTGGTATTTATTTCATTCTGCTATCACTTCTCAGTGTCTTATTTAAAAATACCTACAGCCCTAACTGGTTTGGCTCGGTAGATAGAGCCATCGGCCTGCAGACTGAAGGGTCCCAGGTTTGATTCTGGTCAAGGGCATATTCCTTGGTTGCAAGCACATCCCCAGTGGGGTGTGTGCGGGAGGCAGCTGATCAAAGTTTCTCTCTCACCGATGTTTCTAACTCTCTGTCCCTTTCCCTTCCTCTCCGTAAAAAAATCAATAAAATATATTTTAAAATAATAAAAATACATAAATAAATAAAAACACCTACGTTGCCTGACCTATAGTTATTTCACCATCATACACTAAGAGACTAGTAGACAAAGAGGAGAGAGCTAGTCTCCAGTTGCCTTTGAATGTGTAATACTGGGTGAGATTTTATTCTGAAATAAATAGAAATGCACCGCTAAATAAAGTTTTTAAAAGAAGATTGTA